GCTGGGCCACAAGCCTGTGATGCTTTCATTCATTCCCTCATTCATTCATTATTCCCTCCCTCACTAAGCAGATGTGTGATTCAAAACTCCAGTGTCCCTGGCATGCTTCTGGAGGTTGGCTGGGCTCCTCACCATGGAGCCCTTGGTTGGCATGAGGGTAGGCTGTGATGTAGGACCAGGGCAGCAACAACGTTAATAAGAATTAACTCAAAGTCTCGAAGTGGAGCAAATATAGGAGCTAAATCTAGAAGGAAGCATAGGTGTAACTTCCTGGCCTTGGATTTGGCGATAGCTTTTTGGATATGACACTAAAGCACAAGCAACAAAAGAAAAATAGGTTAATTGGACGCTATCAACATTTAAAACTTTTGTGCATCCAGAGACTATTAAGAAAGTAAAAAGAACTCACAGAATGGGAGAAAATATTTACAAACCATATAGCTGATAAGGGATTAATATTCAGAAATATAAAGAACTCTTATGACAACACGAAAAAAGAGAAACCCAATTTTAAAATGGGCAAAGGACTTGACAGACATTTCTCCAAAGATGTTAGACAAATGACCAACAGGCCATGAAAAGGTGCTCAGCATTACTAGTCGCCAGGGAAATGCAAACCAAACCCACAATGAGATATGTCATACCCATCAGGATGACTACTGTTAAAACAACAGAAACGGACAAGCATAGGCAAGGGTGTGGAGAAATTGGAACCCTTATGTAGTATTGGTGGGAATGTAAAATGGTACAGCCACTATGGAAAACAGAATGGCTATTCCTCAAAAAATAAATTACAGAGTTACCATATGACCTAGCCATTCCACTCCTAGGGATATATACCTAGAGATTTGAACAGGGACTCAAACTGTCTACCTGTGTCCACAGGAGCACCGTATTCACAGTTGCCAAAAGGTAGAAACAGCTCAAGAGTCCCTCAGTAGATGTAGGACAAACACAGTGTGGTTCATCCACACAGTGGAACTTTATTCAGCCATGAAAAGGAGTGAAGCACTGACACATGCTACAACATGGAGATAAACCTAGAAAATATTGTGTTGAGTGAAGGAAGTCAGACACAAAAGGCCACATAATGTGTGATTCCATCTGTATGAAAGGTGCAGAACAGGAAAATCCATAGAGACAGAAAGTGGCTTAGTGGTTGTTGAGGGGGAGGAAGATGGGAGGTGACTGCTAATGGGGATGCAGCTTCCCTTTGGGTTGACAGAAATGTTCTGGAACTAGAAAGAGGTGATGGTTGCATAACATTGTGAATGTACTAGATGTCATTGAATTGTATATGTTAAAATGGTTTGTTATATGTTATGGGAACTTTGTTTTGATTAAAAAAAAAAAAAAGTTTAAAAAAGAGCGAAAAGCCCAGGCCAGGTTGCTCCGTTGGTTGGAGCGTCATCCCCTACACCAGTGGTCGGCAAACTGCGGCTCGCGAACCACATGCAGCTCTTTGGCCCCTTGAGTGTGGCTCTTCCACAAAATACCACGTGCGGGCGCGCATGTACTGTGCGATTGAAAGTTCGTGGCCCATGTGCAGAAGTCGGTATTTTGTGGAAGAGCCACACTCAAGGGGCCAAAGAGCCACATGTGGCTCGTGAGCCGCAGTTTGTCGACCACTGCCCTACACCAAAAGGTTGTGGGTTCAATTCCCAGTCAGGGCACATACCTAGGTTTCAGGTTCAATCCTTGGTTGGGCACATATGGGAAGCAGCTGATCGATGCTTCTCTTTGACATTGATGTTTCTCTCTCTCTCTCCCTTTCTCTCTTTCTCTAAAATCAATAGAAACATATCCTCCAATGAGGATTAGTGAAAAAAGAAAAGCTATTTTGGGCCTTCCTTTTGGGGCACCTGCTAGTACAGCCATCTCCCTCAGAGCCCAGGTTTCCAATCCTTTACACAGTGGGTAAGGGGAGACCTGGGGAGAGACAGCATGACCCATGGACACGTGGCATGAGTGGTCACTGCAATCTCTTGCAGCCACAGGATGGAGACTGGGGAGTCACATGTCAGAGCTGGTGACCCTCAGTCCTCCTCTCCCTGGAATAACTAGGCCCAGGGTGTTTGGTGCTGTCTTCCATGGCCTCAGTGAGATAGTCAGCCATGCACATGTCACCTCAACTGAGCAGTATAGGGGGAGGGCCCAGTGTGGGGAATGGAGCCCAGGAGGGGCTGTCTACCATCTGGAACTCACTACCTGCTGCCCAAGCTGAACCTGGGAAGGAACTTGGAGGAATGCAGCCAGACAAACTGGGTGAATACACCTGTCAGAGAATGGTGGCCCCAGAAAACTCACGTGGCTCCATAAGAATCAAAATTAGATCCTACTAGGAGTTCTTGGGGGCTCTCTGCATGTGTCCCCATGGCTGCTGGAATACTTGGAGAACCTGGTGAAGCTCCGGTCTTTCCCTCCCAGGGACACTCCCAAAGGTGGCTTGAGCCAGGGTGTGCAAATCCCCCCGGGTCCCAGTCAGTGCTCCGTCCCAGAAGCATCATGTGCCTGAGCTGGCAAGGGGACAAAGTGTGCTCTTTGCTTCCCTCTCATGGGCGGTTCCCAGATTGGGCCCCGGACTGGGGCACATGCTGCCTCTGCACTCGAACAGCCATCTCTTCTTTCTTGAGCCTCAGTTTCCTGGAGGTTGGGGCTAAGGGTCCCATGTGGGCACAGGAGAAATGTGGTTCCTGCCTGGGATCCTGAGTGTATCCAACTCTTGTTCCTGTCCTCATATGTCACCTTATTTTTACTTGTTCCCCATGTGTGCTGGACTCTTCCATTGTGCCAGAGTCCTTATGGGGCCGACAATCTGATGGGATCAGACAGACCTCAGTCAGGTAGTTTTGTGGAGGAGGTAACCCTGTGGGGGCGAGGTGCTCAGTGTTGGGCTAGCCCAGTGGGAAGAGCCTCATAGAGGAGGCAGCACCAGTGCAAAGGCCTCACAGCAGCAGCCGTCTCAGGTGTGGAGCCTGGTGGTCGGGGAAAGCAAAGGGCCAGCCTGTGAAGCCTTTGTGGTGAGAGGGGCCAACAGGCCTGTCCAGAGCACACGACTTCTCGCTGGCTTTGCAGGACAGAGCTCAACCTTCAGCACACTGACTCCCCTTAATCTCATTAGAAGGCCCACCATTTACCTGATCAAGGCTGGCTTGTCTGGAGAGTGAAGCCTGGGAGAGGCTGACAGGTGGGGGTGTCACTGCAGCCTGTTGGTGCAGGGGTGGGGGTACTGAGGCCTGGGGAGGGCCCTAAAGAAGTGGCCGCATCCATCACACCACATCTTCCCAGAGCCACTGGCCTTGTGGTCTCCGTGCCCTTGTGGTCTCCACTTTACCCAGCCCAGTGGATGCTGCTGCCTGTGCTGGGGGAGTTGTGACCAGCACGGTGTAGGCACTGACAGAAGCTGACAGACCTGTAGGGGTCCTCTCAGCAAGGTGGGACTGAGGGAGGCTGGAGAAGTCACCATTTACACAGGGCTCTCTGCAGGGGAGTGGGTGTTGGGCAGGGACAGGTGAGAAGGACATCTTGCATGTGCTGAGTGGGTAAGGGGAACAAAAAGGCCCAGGGCTGAGATGAGGAAACTGGTGGGGGTAAATGAGGGCCAGGAGGGGGCTGTGGCCCCAGAGGTGGTTCTTAAGAGGTGGAAGCAGGGCTCAAACACAAGGAGGGAATGGAGTGGGTCTCGGGTCTGAGGTTACCTGTGCCAAGGCATGAGTGGGGCCTCTAGCCTGTGTTGTTTCTCATAACCGTGGGGAGGGACACATTGGGGTATTCATGTCAAAGACAGACCCTGGACTGGGCCCACAGACTTGCAAACCACCTGGGCAGGAATAGAGCAAGGTCAGCCTCTCTCCCAGTTCCACACGGCCTGCAGGAAGCAGCTGTTTACCTGAGTTAGGTGCTCTGCTGAGTGGATGGCCAGTTTCCAGGCTTCACTTTCCCTCCAGTGTCTAACCACCCCCCCCCCCCCCCAGGAAGCTGGGCACTAGTTGGGGAGCGGGTGGTGTGGGCGGCCAGCTGGTGGAGGCCACTAGGAGCTATTTGTGAGGGACCACAAGTGGCCTTGTTGTGTACACAGAGTTGACCCTAGCAACCGCCCCAGCTGGGAGAGCAACACCACCCCTTCCTGCATGCCCAGCCAACCACCCCTTGTTCATGATAACTGCCTCCCACAGCAGTGTGATGGACTATAGGTGGTGCTGCCTGGGCCAGGGCATCTGATCTTGTTCCCAAAAAGTGGAATCAGCTGCTTGAGAGAGAAGACGCGATTGCCTGTCCAGGTCCGAGGCAGCCATTGCTGGCCAGGGAACCTCGGGCTCCTGGTTCTGAAGTGGGAAAAGTCCCCAGTTGAGTGATGGGCAGAGGACTGCAGGAATTCCGCCAGCCCAGATGAGAGCCAACCACTGGGCCCAGTCCTGGTGAGGCAGAGGGACGAACAGGCAGAAGGAGCCTGGGGCCTTGGGCAGGACCCTTGAACTCAGGCAGATCTGCTTGTCTTGTGTGCTGCTGGAGGAGCCACATCTTGCACTTTGAAAGTCAGTGCTACACTTCTGAGCTGACTCCTCTGATCCAGGCCATTGGAAAGAAGATTTCTCTTGTGTCTGTCCAGGCATCATTTTGCAGCATCTGGCCTGTGCCTAGTAACAAAGCCTTTGGCCACGATGAGAAATGGCTCCCCCGGGTGGGTGAGAGGCCTCCTCCTCAGGCTCTAGGCTCCAGGCCTGCTCTATACTCTTACTCATTCACAAACCTGCCGCGTCAGCCAGCAAAGAAAGCTCCCTGAGGTTCACACAGTCCTGGGGAGGACCTCTTGTGGCACCTTGGGTTTCTGATTCTGCCTTTTTGGGTGGAGAGACACTGGCTTCTTTGAAAATCTGAGTCATGGGTCCTACACCCTCTGTGATTGGTGCTACTGACCCCACCACATGGGTCCTTTCCAGGCAAGGTGTGCTGAGGATGGCCCCGCCAGCCCTCGCTGCAGCTGCCGGTTTCTCTTACAGCTCCAGCTCCAAAAGTCCCAGTACCTGCAGCTGGGCCCAAGCCGTGGCCAGTACTATGGCGGGTCCCTGCCCAATGTGAACCAGATTGGGAGCGGCACTGTGGATTTACCGTTCCAGGTGAGCAATCCCCCACACGATCTTCCCACACTGCCTTCCTGTGGGAGCTTGCCCTGGGCTCCCACCTGGGGCACATCCACTCTGGGCAAATTTGTATGTGTGATGGCTGCTTTGGACAGCCAGTGTCAGCAAACTATTGCTGCATCCCTCCCACCCCACACCCTCCTACTCCTTTTCTGACCCTGGGATGGCCTGGCCAGACCTTGCCCAGATCCCCCCCTGGCCAGTCCCCTGTCAGCATCAGCAGACCCTGCAGCGAGGCCTCAGTCTGGCTGCGAGCGTTTCGGCAGCCACTACACCTGTTGGCCGTCTGTGCAGCAGCGGGAACCGCTTAGGGCCTCTGGGGCTTGGCTCCATCAGCCTCACTAATCCTCAAGCCCAGAGGTTCTCAGAAGGAGGCCCTGAGACCTGACCCCACTTGTCTACAAATGTTTCTTGGCAGAGACCTATACAGCATGGCTCCTGCAGGCCACAAGGCCGCCATGCACATCCTTATCATAAATAGCGAGAGATAAAACTCACCACCTGGGCGCAGTGCCAGCCTCTTCCCTGGGGCCATGCCTGACCCTAGTCTACAGGTGGAAGTGGAAGCAAGGTGGGCCAGGGAGCCAGGGCTGAGAGCCAGGCCACTCCAGCATGGTGTCTGCTCTGCAGGGACAGGTCCGTGGACTGTCACACTTTCACCCCGTTGCTGAGACAGGGCCCCAGAAACAATCACATCTGTCCACATGCTGATAGGCCAGGTGGAACTTGGGCTGGTCCTCAGGGAGCTCAGCTCCCACCTGAGTAATCCACCAACTCCTACTCCTCCCATAATAATGCTGCCAGGATGCAGTAGGCCACTGGCCAGGGTCCCCCAGACTGACTCTGGGTCTGCCCTGCTCACCTCTGGGCCCCTGGGGTATGGCCTCCTTGAACAGCCTCATGAGAACAGATGCATAGGGCTGTCTAGCTGACCAAAACCTGACCTCTTTGTCAGGGTATTTCCTCCTCCCTGGCTCTCCCCCTTCCTCTGTCTTCCTGTCCCTCCTCCCTGGAGGGGAGCATCTTCTGGGCACCCAAGCTGGCCCTGCCTGGATCACTGTGACCGCAGGGCTAAGGGTGCAGGGCCTGCTGGGTCCTAGGGCTGAGGGTGAGGCTGGAGCATCTCAGAATCTGGTTCTTTGCATTCTAGCCCAGCGGATTTCTGGGGGATGCCCTGGCAGCGGCTCCTGTCTTTCTGGTAAATGAGCCCCTGGGCTGAGGCTATTGGTGTCCCCAGTGTGGCTGCCCTCCTGGCCTGGTGGGAGGTGTCCTGTCTGACAAATGGAAACTGATTTGCTCTGCACCGCCCCCCACCCCCCACCCCCGTGTCTGGGGAAATTCGTGTGGTCACATGGAGAGATCCCACCCAAGAATTCAAGCATGTGCACCAACGCTGCATGTTTGTTCCCATGACACATGCACACAGGTGTGCACAGATTCTAGACTCGGCCTGGTGAGCTGGGCTGCGGCCAGGCCGAGCTTCTCTGCCTCTGGCTATGCTTCAGCCATCTCAGTTTCCCCTCTGCTCCCCAGGCATCTCTGAGAGGAGATGAATGGCCTCTGCCCTCTGGTGTCCCTGCTGGAGGGTGAGGCTCCCTCCCTCTGCAGCTGAGCCCAAGTCGTGGCCAGTACTGTACCCAGTACAGTGGGTACCTGCTATCTCCCAAGCTGGCAGGTCTGTGCTGGGTCAGAGAGAGAGAGGGGCCCTGGACACTGGAGAGCAGTCAGCCCTGAATGCCAAGTGAGGTGTTTAGATACATGGGGAAGAGCAGAATTTCAGCCACTTTTTGCCCCACTTCCCAGAGAAGAGAGGAAGGCCCAAGGACCAGATGGCCGGGGAGGGGGACAGGCTGTGTCCAGAGCTGGCTAAAGTTGCCAGTCTTACCACAGTCAGATGGCAAGAAGCCCCACAGTGCTAGGGATGGCTGAGAGCAGGCTCCTGGGGGCCCCAGGGGCATGGAGCTGGGAGAGGGAGTAGGGCCTGGCCGGGGACCTCATGCCAGCCCCAGGTGCTAGAAGAAGCCCTATCCTGCCAAGCCATGGGCTAGGGCTCCAAAAAGTGCCTACACTTGGCTAATGGTGTTGCCAGGATGTGGTGGAGAGCGCTGGGGGCTGCGTCTCAGTTGAGGCTGACCCCAGGCTCAACAAGGAGCCTCCAGGGAGCCAGCACTTGGCCAGGTGGCCCTTAACATCCTCGGCTAGAGCTTTGGGCTGTCTCTTGGCAGCCTCTCCAGGGATGACGTAGGTGGGAAAAGGAGGCCAGCCAGGCCCGAGAGAGAAGGCGGAGGCCTGTCTGCACCTGGTGAGGCTGAGGGTGGGGGTTGGGGGTTGGGGACTGCTCAGGCCATCTGCACCCCTGGCACCCTGGCCAGCACTGGCCCCGAGCTTGTGTCATTCTGCCTGGCCTGTGCATGCCTGCCGCACTGCACGCCTGCCACCTCGACGCCCAGGGTCCTCAACTTGCCCCCAACCCATAGTGCTAGGAGGCTGGGAGCTGGTCAAAGGAGTAAATTGGTCTGGGTTGCCTCATGGTGGCCAAGGTTGTCTCAGGAGTGGGAGGCCATGAGGTCAGATCTTGGGGACAGGCTATAGCTGATAACCGTTTTGGGTTTCTCTCATTTTTCCCCCCATCTCCTTCTCTCCCTCTCCCCTCCCCCAGACACCCTTCCAGTCCTCAGGCCTGGACACCAGCCGGACTACCCGGCACCATGGGCTGGTGGACAGAGTATACCGGGAGCGCGGCCGGCTCGGCTCCCCACACCGCCGGCCTCTGTCAGTGGACAAACATGGACGGCAGATATCCTTTTCCCAGAGGACTTGGACAGGGGGGCAGGGCCCCGTTGGTGACTGCAGGAGCCTGAGTTTGTCTAACTAATGGAGCTACCAGCTCTGGGAATGGATCGGGGTCACCCCAGTGGACTTCCCAGAGGAGGCAGTGAGGCAAGCTGAAGAACCTTTGGCTAGGTGGGGACTGAGGGACACAGGGAACAAGGATGCAGAAGTGGCCGCTGGAGCATGCAGCCTGAGGTGAGAATTGGGGAAGGGGATGTTGAATCACATTGCACTTGGATGCCCAGCTGGGCAGTGGGGCCCAGGAAGGCTGTGAGCAGAGTGACTACACATTAAGGCCATGTTGGTGTACCGCTCTCAAAACACAAAATTCCTGTCTGTACCTTAGCTAAGCAGAGAGAGCGTCAGGAGTTCCCCCCCACCTTGGCCACCCCTTGGTGCTCAGCCAGCCAGCCAGCCCCCCCGCCCCCCCCCCCGAGTCTGAGTGCTGCTTTGGGACCCTCTGCTTCCTAGAACAGAGAAGCCTGTTCTTTCCTGGTTCTCATTTCCGCGGCAGGGGAAGCCTGACCAGCTGGGCCCCAGACAGAGCCCTCAGGCCCCAGGATCCGCCCATCAGCCCAGAATTAAGAGTCATGACCTGGGTCATCTGAACTAGACTCCCTGCCGCCCCCATGAGCCCCAGTTTCACAGCTGGGGCCCCTCTTGGAAGGGGTGTAGCCCGCACGTGTGCTCGCAGGGGGTGAGTGCTGAGTGCTAGGTGGATGGGGCCACCCCGGGGGCCACTCGCAGCCAGGAAGGAAAGGGCCCCCCCTTCCCACCCTGCAGGCCCAGCTGTTTGTAGGTTCCCAGTAGCCTGGCCACCAGGTTTTTGGGGCTAAGGTGGGGCTTGAGTCAATAGCACTGACCCCTTAACTCACACTCAAGCGGACAGCTGCCCCTATGGTACTGTGTACCTCTCACCACCCTCGGACACCAGCTGGAGAAGGTCAGTGACCCAGAACCAGCCCCTAGCCCTCTTGTTGAAAACAAAACCAAACTTTCATCCTGGTTGTGCTTGGAAAATCAGTATGTAGTCACTTTAAAATGACAAAACTAAGAAGCATCTAGGAGCCCTAACCGGTTTGGCTCAGTGGATAGAGCGTCGGCCTGCGGACTGAAGGGTCCCAGGTTTAATTCCGGTCAAGGGCATGTACCTTGGTTGCAGGCACATCCCCAGTAGGGGGTGTGCAGGAGGCAGCTGATCAATGTTTCTCTCTTATCCATGTTTCTAACTCTCTATTTCTCTCCCTTCCTCTCTGTAAAAATCAATAAAATATATATTTAAAAAAATAAAAATAAAAAAGCATCTAGGAGTTTTTAGAAATCAGCTCTTTTTCTTTTTTAAGCAAAGCTGAAATTATATTGAACTAGAGGCCTGGTGCATGAAAATTTATGCACAGGAAGGGGGGTCCCTCAGCCCAGCCTGCCCCCTCTCACAGGAGCCCTCAGGTGCAGGTGATGCCCTATCACACCTCTGCTGCTGCTACTGCTGGCAGCGCAAGCCTCAGCTGGCCCTGGTTACCTGCGCCTTGGGCCAGCCCTGGGTGGCTGGGCAGCCGACATCCGAGGCTTGCCTGTACTTCGGGCCGACCCTGAGCGGCTGCGGGGCTGAGGGGACTGGGGGACTCCAGAGGCAGGCACGCGAAGCAGCACGCCTGCCGCCCCAGCAGGGCTGAGGGGACTGGGCGCTGCCATCTTGTGGCTGTGGGCACTGCCATCTTTGAGGGTGGGACAGTCAATTAGCATATTCCCTCCTTATTGGCTGTGGGTGCTGCCATCTTTGCGATGGTGTGAGGGTCAATTAGCATATTCCATCTTTATTAGATAGGTTATTCAGTGTTGTAGCTTGCTTTTTTCCCCCCATTTAATGTTGTGGTTTCCCACATTGATAAACAGTCATGAAAATATGATTATAAAGAGTATTATACATTTATTACTAGAAGACTAGTCTAGTCTCCTCCTTCCAAAGGAGGAAAAAGCACCCATAATACCATTATCTAGAAAGGTCTAAAATAATAAGTATAAATATCTATATATATAAAAGCCTAAGTGACTGTTAGGACCAACTGACCGGAATGACCAGTAGACCAATCGCTATGATGCGCACTGACCACCAGGAGACAGGCACTTATTGCAGGAGCTGTCCCCTGGTGGTCAGTGTGCTCCCACAGCCAACCTCCCATGGCCAGCCAACCTCCTGTGGCTCCTCCCCTGGCCAGCCGGCCCCTCCAACCAGCCAGCCAACCTCCCGTGGTCCCTCCTCCCTGCCAGCTGCTCCCCCAATAAGTCCCAGTTGGGGGGCTGGCTGGCCAACCTCCCGGGGTCCCTCCCCCGAGCTGGTCAGCCCCCCGATAGGCCTCGATCGCCAGCCAGGCTGAGGGATTCTACCCATGCATGAATTGCTAGCTGTGCTCTAGTATATAATACAGGTGTTGGCTGCACCCAGTGTGAATCCATTTAATGCCACAGAAGTATACACTTAAAAATGGTTAAGGCCCTGGCTGGGTAGCTCAGTTGGTGAGAGCATTGTCTCAATATACCAAGGTTGCAGGTTCGATCACCAGTCAAGGTACATACAAGAATCAACCAGTGAATGCATGTATGGGTAGAACAACAAATTGATGTTTTCTTCTCCCTTTCTGCCTCTCTCTAAAAATCAATAAATTAAAAAAAATTAAATTATGAAAAAAATGGTAAAGCTTGTTACCCATACTTTACCACATACAGAAAATGTGTATGTGTATATGCAATTTCAGTAAAAAATAAATAAATAAATAAAAAGACCAAAAGTGCCGAAACCGGTTTGGCTCAGTGGATAGAGCGTCGGCCTGCGGACTGAGAGGTCCCAGGTTCGATTCCGGTCAAGGGCATGTACCTGGGTTGCGGGCATATCCCCAGTAGGAGATGTGCAGGAGGCAGCTGATCGATGTTTCTCTCTCATCGATGTTTCTAACTCTCTATCTCTCTCCCTTCCTCTCTGTAAAAAATCAATAAAATATATTAAAAAAAAAAAAAAGACCAAAAGTAAGGAAACTTAAAAATATATATGTGTATCATACAGTATGTAATATATTTAACTCAATAGCATAATTAAATTCCCACCAAGTACTTATCATATATCAGGCCCTATTCAGCCATCAATACATTAACTGATATAAAACACACAGAGCATTGTGGAATAGGTGTTGTTATCCCCATTGTAGATATAAGGAAAGTGAGCATAGAGAGGTCAGAATACTTGCTCAAAGACACATAGTTGGGGTGAGGGGGTGGCTAGGACCCTGACTGGTTCCTCACTGCACAGCTAGCCCTGGGATCAGAGAATGGCTGATCCTTTGTAATCTGCTCTTCTCCCTTAACTAAGTTCCTTCCATGTCACTCTCAGTGTCTGGGTCATCCCCATTGGGTGCATGCAGCTCTTATTCTCATCCCCGAATTGCTAGCTGTGCTGATGCACCTTTGCATGTCCACCCAGCTACCCTTGGGCACCCATAGTGTCCTGGGCAGCTGAAGGCTGTTCTGAAACCCCTCCCTCCAGGCACCTGTAGTTGGGGGCAGATTACCCTGACCCTGGGGCGGAAGATTGAGCTCTTGGCAGCATTTGGGCTGATTGGAACAAGATCCTCATCTACACACACACACGCCATTCCCTCCCCTTCTCACCCAGGGGATGCTTTCTTTCTGGGGCCTTCTCTGAGCCTTATGTCACTGCCTCCCCTTCCTGCCCATCACACCTGGTTTGCAACTGAGTGTCCCAGAGGGTGGGGTTGCCCATTGGTGTTTGTCACCAAAGGGGACCCAGTGATGGGCTAGGGGCTTGTACCCACAAGGCTTGGCCACTGTAGGACCATTGGGCCCCCTCTCCAAAAGGTTTCAGCAAGAAGGCTCTGTCCTTTCCTTAAAGCAGGGAAGTACACAGAGGGTGGGGAGGTGGGAGGGACTGGGGACAGACAGGCAGGTTAGGACAGAGGGACATCTCTTCTGCAAACAGGCTTTGCAGACGAAAACCATGGTCATGGTCACTCCTGTGGTTCTTTTGAGAATAATGCTCAGGTGCAACAGCCCACAAAAAAAGACCTACAACTGCCCCGCCTCTGTCCCATCCGGTGTGTCCTGGATCAAGCGGAGCCAGGACTGTCCTTCATCATCCTTAGGGCCTTTGCTCACTGTCTCTCTCCTCTCCTAGGACCAATTCTGACTCTGCCCTGCACCAGAGCACAATGACACCCACCCAGCCAGAGCCCTTTATGGGGGGGTCCCAGGACGCACACCAGAAAAGAGGTATGGGCCAGGTACATGGGCATCTTTCCTCAGGTCAGGCAAGTCCAATGGTAGTCCCTGTGCTCGCAGAGGTCACAGCTCATGGGTGGATAGACCTGTGAAGAAAGATTCAGTGGGTGCTATGGGACAAGGGGAGGGGCTCAGGGAAACCAGAGATGGTACTATTTGAGTTGGATTTTGAAGCGTGTGTAGGTTTCTGGGCAGAGAAAGCAGTGCCTGTAAATACCCATTGCCTTCTGTTCAAGAATTCAGCATGGCCATGCAGTCTGGGGACCTTGCGTGTTTTTTTCAAATGTAGGGGACAGCAAGCTCAAGCAAAAGGGGCAGTTATCAGCTCATGACTAAGCAGGTCACAGCTAGATGTTGAGTTTCAGGTAGAGTTTGACCCAAGGCTTTATACTGGGCCATATCCTGGCTGTGCTGCTCAGAGCCCTCATGGTCCATATCATAGGCTCATCCTGACCTTGGTGGGTGGGAAAAAGGCTGATTCTTTCCCAGCTCTTGCCCAGAGGCTCCTCTCCAACTGGGCCATGTACATAGCGCTGCAGCTGGGCCATCTGTGCCCAGGCTCCCAACCTCTCCTCGGAGCCAGGCATAGGCAGCATCACTGGGACCTTCCAGGAGGGCACATGCCATCTTAAAAACTGGGGCAGCATCATCCAGAGAGGGGAATGTGATGCTGTGAGGCCAGCCGCAGGCAACCCCTTAGGGGCCTATCTGCCCCAAGACACTGAAACCAGAGAATTAATCACGTACAGTTAAAGCCCAAATGCTTATTGCTTTTTATTAGCAGTTCACTGTGCAAGTGTGTAAGCACCAGGGAGATTCTACTGACAGGATTGTCCACCAGAACTTTACCCCTTGCGGGGGCTCTCTTTGCACTCCATCTTCCTGGGACCCTAGCTCATCAGGCAGTGAAGGTGAGATTGCAGAAGGAATTGTCTTCGTAATAAAAGCCAGGATTCTGAGTGTTCAGAGGTGATGAGGACATTGTGCCTGGAGCTTCCCTCCTGTTTCCTGTACTGGGGGGGCAATTCTGAGGTGGCATCTCCATGGTGGGTCTCCCAAGAAATGTGGGCTTTTGTAGGTAGGTGGGGCTCTGTGACTGTGGAAGAGAGCTGCAAGCCTGGAACCCCTGGCACCTCAGAGTCCAGTTGGCCTTGGGGTGTGGGGAAGTGAGACATGTTACCTGTCCTCTTTCCTCCAGTCGGGGCCAGACGGTGACAGAGTCAGGTTAGCCTGGCTGCCCTCCCACCCCGAGCCTGGCCCCTCCCGGTTTCAGGAGGGCGGGGTTGATCCATCTGGCTCTGTTCAACACATCGAGGGAGCTTCATCCTCCCTGAAGTAAAACCCTCACTCAGATTTGACCACTCATGCCAGCTGATTTAACACGAACGCAGGCCTGAACCCCCAACGGGCACGAAGAAGTTGAGTCTCATCAAGAAAATGTTCAGTCTCACTGTTACCAAAAGGTCCAAGGAAGGGGCCTTCGGGTGCGACTGGCTTCATGGCTTCAAATGATGCCCATCCAGTCTCTCAGAACTTCCCTTTTTTCCTCCTCTCTCCCCTCCTTCCCTCCTCTAGGGTTGGCTGGCGTTTCAACTAACTTAAGGGGCCACAGCTACCATGGTGGCTCCACCCAACCCATCTAACACTGAGCAATGTGACACTGTGATGATGGCCCAAGAGGGAGAGTCAGCTGTCCACAGGGCAGTGGCCATTCACTGGAGCCAGAGAGAAGTTCTCAGCTGTTCTCTATAGCCTGCCATCTCCAAGACTGAGTCGATCCCATTGGGAGGCTGAATGATACAGGTCCTTAGCTCTAGAGCAGTGGTTCTCAACCTTCTGGCCCTTTAAATACAGTTCCTCATGTTGTGACCCAACCATAAAATTATTTTCGCTGCTCTAGCGCTTAAGTCACAGGTTCTCTGACTTTTTAAAATGTTTTTGTTTTGTTTTAATGAAACCCATTTTGTACTTTAGTACAATCCCCAGAAGTCACTATTGGGGCACATTACTATCACGGTTGTGACTGTATGTCAGGGAAGTGCCCTCCTGCTACCGCCAGGCAGCTGCAGAGATTCCCTTTCTGACTCTCCTTCTCCCCACACCTCACTCTAGTCTTACTACTAACAGTCCCAGGAATGGAGGAGACCACCTCAGAGACGGACAAGAACCTTTCTAAGCAAGTATGGGACACCAAGAAGGTAAGAGCCTTTGGGCTTTTAGAAGTGGTTTCTTTCTTGGTCTTTTTTTAAGCACAGCCAAGCAGATGAAACAACACATTGAAGGAGCTTCATCCTCCCTGAAGTAAAACCCTCACTCAGACTTGACCACTCATGCCAGCTGATTTACCATGAATGCAGGCCTGTTACACTGGTGAAAAGCATGTACAGAATTAAATAAGCCTGGCAGCGTGGCTCCGTGGTTGAGCATCAACCTCTGAACCAGAAATCATGGTTTGATTCTGGTCAGGGCACATGCCTGGGTTTGGGGGCGTGCAGGAGGCACCCAGTCAATGATCCTCTCTCATCATTGATGTTTCTATCTCTCTCTCCCTCTCCCTTCCTCTCTGAAAATACTATTAGTAAAAAATATGTTTTTAAAAAAAGAATTAAATAAAACCCGTGCTTGCTTTCACAGCATATACACTAAAATTGGACAATACAGGGATTAGTATGGCCCCTGCACAAGGATGACACAAGGACATCAGGGTCCCTGCACCTGAATGTGGTGCTGCCATAAAGAAAGGGAAGATGGCTAGTGGTGGGGAAACACCCTTTCATCCTGGGAGTAAGAAGAGGGTGGCAGAGCCCAGCATCCTGGTGAGACTTTTTTTTTTTAATCCTCACCCACATATATTTTTTCCATTGCTTTTTAGAGAGAGTAGAAGGGAGGCAAAGGGGGCAGAGAGAGAGAAAAAGAGAAACATCGATGTGAGAGACACATCAATTTGTTGCCTCCTGCATATTGCCTGACTGGGGCCAGGAATCGAACCCACAACCTTTTGGTAGGGGGCTGACTACTGAGAAACACTGGCCAAGGGTGGGTGAATTCTTAATACTGTTTATGTAGAATGTTTTTGAAAAGATTCTTTAGAAAGTCATTGTCAAGGTGCTTTGCAAAAGTCCAGTAATAAAGCTAATGTTTACTTCCAGAATTAAGGAGCCTGTGGCCATGTAGAAATCCCTTCCACCCAGTTCCCTACTGAAGCTCAAGGTCACAGGCCCCCTGAGGCGGCCCAGTTACTGCCAGTCAGGCATTCCCTTCTCACTGGGTGTGTTTGTGGGCTGACCCAGCCCTCCCCCGTGGGTCCACATTCTTGTCTGGTAATCCCTAAAGAACACCAACAGGAGTGTCTACCTGAGGGCCCCAGAGGCAGACAGGAATTAGGGAACGTGACACAGTGGAGGCCTGTTAGCACGCAGGCTTTGTCCTGTCATGTCTGCTGCCTGAGGAAGAGAGTTCCTTGCTTTGTCCTTGAATGAGAATCTAGAGGCCTGGCCTGGAGCCTGCAGATCTCCGGTGGCAATAGTGTCTCTAGCCCAGCGACCGCCAACCTTTCAGACCTCACGGACCACCAGTGGTCCGGGGACCACCGGTTGGCAACCGCTGCTCTAGCTCACAGAGGTCTTACTGCCCATAGGGTTTCCCTAAGACCCCTTCTCCTGGGCTAGCCTGCAGGGTGGCCAGAGTTCTGGTCCTCAAATGGTGGTGTGCTGGGGTCCCCATGGGAGTCACACCTCTAGGCACCACGGGAAGGCCGGCCCGCTAATGCCACAGTGGCAGCCTCTTTGTTTCAGGGCAGCCAGTCCAAGCTGCCTCAGGCTTCCCCACATGATGTTCTTTCTGGGGGTGGACAGACAGATGCTGAGCAGAGGCAGTCTCTACCCTATTGACTCCTTCTCCTTCCCACCCTGATCCAGGAATATATGAGGGGTTAGCCTCCACCACCCAGGTTTCCAATGGACCTCTATAGAGCTGGTGGCCAACAGCTGTGGCACAGCCTGAGAGGCTGAGATGTAAAGAGCAGGCAACACGATCCCCCCGGGACACCAGCTCTGACAAGGCACCACATCACCCCTGGACTGTGCTACCTTACCAGGCAGACACAGTGAAACTGGGAGGGACCATAGGGAGATCCTCTCCACTTGACGCTTGGTTTAGCCCCTGGGCATGTCTGGGGCACGCGCCCCCCCCCCCCCCCACACACACACACAGTCCCTTAGGGACGCTCTTCATCTGTGGGACTCCCTAGGACCCCATAGCTTGCTTCTCCTTGAGCATCACTCAGCTCTCTTGTGGAGATCAGCCATGCTATGAGGAGGCTGCTGAGCCTTTGCTGTCTTCTCTTTCAGACAGGGTCCAGGCCCAAGTCCTGCGAGGTCCCCGGAATCAAGTAAGTCCCAGTGGGACCTGCCCTGCATGCCTATGGCCACCAGGGGCTGCTCAGACGGCAACCCCACCCCAATTTCCACCTGTTCACGAGAGGCTACAAGTCCAGACAAGAGGAATGCTGGGCTGCTGGTGGCCACCCAGCAAGGCTTGCCCTGGGGGATGCTTCCACCCCTTAGAGTCCCAGTGGTTCTCAACCTTCTGGCCCTTTAAATACAGTTCCTCCTGTTGTGACCCAACCATAACATTATTTTTGCTGCTACTTCATAACTAATGTTGCTACTGTTATGAATCGTAATGTAAATATCTGATATGCAGGTTGGTCTTAGGCGACCCCTGTGAAAGGGTCGTTCGACCGCCAAAGAGGTCGCGACCCACAGGTTGAGAACCGCTGTCCTAGACACACTGTCCCCAGACAGCAGGGGGACCCTCATCCCATCCCCTCTCCCTGCCCTGCAGGGATAAGCTGCTTCCCATTGGAGGTTTAGGCTGATGGTGGTTTCTCGAGCATGACAGCATCTGATGGCAGGATGTCCTTTTGCACCAGTTAGTGTGTTTTTTTGCAAGCCCCCCAACCCCCCACCACTGCCACCGCAGCTTCTGGGGGAGAACCAGCAGCCACAGTCCAAGAGGTCAACTCCCCTGTGTCTGGCCTTTTCCCAGCATCTTTCCATCTGCTGACCAGGAAAACACTACAGCCCTGATTCCTACCACCCACAACACCGGGGGTTCCCTGCCTGACCTGACCAACATCCACTTCCCCTCCCCGCTTCCAACCCCGCTGGACCCCGAGGAGCCCACCTTCCCAGCGCTCAGCAGCTCCAGCAGCACCGGCAACCTCACTGCCAACTTAACGCATTTGGGCATCGGCAGCACTGGCCAGGGTAAGGCTGGGAGGGTGAGGACACTTCCTTCCCCAGCAAAGTTCACCTGCTAGCAAGGATGGCGCGCGCGCGCGCGCGCGTGTGTGTGTGTGTGTGTGTGTGTGTGTGTGTGTGAGAGAGAGAGAGAGAGAGAGAGAGAGAGAGAGAGAGAGAGAAACGACTGAGCAGGGTCACTTCCAAAATGCTGGGCATAAAGTGGGAACAGCCCAACATGGAGTGGAGGCTTGGTGTTACTAGGCTGTCCCAAGGCGAGTGGTGTTAGGACAGAGGGTACAGTCTGGGCAAAGACCCTGCATTGGGAAGGCTCATGTTGTCTCTAGGGATGGGACAGTGGTTCTGAGGGGTGCTGGGAGCTTTAGAGAGTGTGGTCCACCAGACTTTCCCTTTCTTCCCACCCCATAGCTGACTATGGCTGCCTTCTTGGGACACTCCAGCCTGACCCCCTCCCCAGGCTCCACACTCATTTCTCCCTGGCTATGTCTTCAGGGGCGACCCTTGGGGCCCTTGCCCATCCCAGTATCTCTTGGCACCACCCCAACCCTGTTCCTCCTAGGGGCCTATGGCATTATCTCCCTGCAACACAGACCAGGAACCTGGAGCTGTACTCCTCAATCCCTTGGCCCTCTTGCCCACCCTAACCAACTGGCATGTCTATTAGCCCCACCATCAGGACCCTCCTCATCCTGTACAGCCTCCACCTGCTGCCACACCCCTTCTCAGTCCCAGCCTCTTCTCCACCCAGAACAGCTGTCAGCTCATGGCCCTCCTCTGCTCTGGTCCTTGCATAGCCCCTCACCTCCCACACCTCTCCTCTCCAGCTAATGAGCTCACCTCGGGGCCTCTGTACATGCTGTTCCTCCCCCATGGTCCTTCTCTTCTAGGCGGCAAGGACCCCTCACCTGCCCCATCTCTGCTCACACCACCTTCCCATAGTGAGGCCTCCTGGCCTCTGCTCATACCCCCCACCTGGTTTACACAGCGTTGCTTTTTTGCTTTTCTGTACTCACCCTGAGTACTTTGTTCTCACCTGTCCCCTGGGTTAAGCCTCACTCCCCTGCAACCCCACTGTGACCCCTGCACTGAGTTGACTGTGGGTTTGCATTCAGAGAGGAGATAGGGTGCTCCCAGCAGCCCCAGCGAGCAGGAGGGCTCAAGGGGGCCCCTCTGTGAGCCCAAAGGTATCAGGACTTGGTGGTCAGTGAGAGCACTACGTCATGTTCCCTTCTTCCTGCACAGGGATCACCGAGCAGCCGCATTCACATGTCATCACCCTGAGTGTGGTGGGCAGCACTGTGCAGCCCTTTCTGAGATAATCACACGCTCAGAGTCACGTTCACTTGCAAGCGCTCTGACTGCCCTGGGGAGAACAGGCTGTCAGAGGGGAGGCCGCACCTAGACCAAGGCAGGGCCCCATCAGACACTCTGAAGAGAGGTTTCTGGGGGAAATGGGCTGGCTTGGGAGCTGGGTTGATGTGAGGAGTGGTGGAGAGTCAGTCCTACCTCTGGTGCCCATGGGGCCTGAGAATGTGAGGTGTGTTGGAGACAGTACCATGTTCCTAGGTTTTTAGATAAGGGGATGGGAGCCAGACAATGAAGGGAGGAGTGGGACTCTGGCCTGAGGATGTTGAGATTGCCCCTGGCCCTATGCCCACCCAGGCTTAGCTACAGAGCAAAGGGCACCATCCCAGCCATGCCCCCCTGCCTACCCCCTCACCCCCCGAAGGCCCAAAGACAAATGAGTAGATTCAGGGAAGCCCAAGACCCATGGCCCCTAGAGACCAGTGGGCAGCAGCGTAAGCATTGGCCTGTGCATGTGCAGAGGAAGAGAGTGGAAGGTTGGTTCTGGGACTACTGCCCCCCACTTTCCCTGGCTGATGCTGACACTACCATTTCCTGGCCCCATTCCCCCCCCCCTTTTTTTAAATTAAATGTTTATTGTTGAGAGTATTACAGATGTCCCCCCTTTTTTCCCCTTGACCCCCACCACCTGGTTTCCACCCCGCCCCAGGCCTTCACCACCCTATTGTCTGTGTTCATGGGCAGTGCATATCCTATATAATAAAAGGATAATATGCAAATTCCATTTTTCCCCACTTTTGACTGTGGCCTCCAGAGGATCACCCTCCTCCACCCGAGAGTCCTTGGCAGCCCCCCAGCGCCCACCAGGAGCTGTGCACTTCTGAGCAGAGTCTAAACAAGCACAGGAAAACAAGCACATGTGAAAGCTGCAGACCCTGAATCGGGCTGCATATGGGAGGGGGTCCGGGGGCGGGGATCGGACCCTCGCCACCTGGTTCTAGTATCTGCCAGTGATGTCTGACATGTGTTGGATTGTTTTCAAACCTGCCGCTCCAGGGGCTCGCCTGACAGGGGCTTCACTTTCTGAGTGCGTTTTAAATCAAGCCGAGCCTTAGCCTCTGGCACACATGGAGACTGCACCCCCGCCCCCCCCCTCCCTGCCCCCCCCCCCCCCCCCGGCTCACCCAACAGTCAGATCATGAGCCCAAGAGAAGGAAGAGGCCTTCCCATCAGAGAGGGAGACAGTGGCCCCTTTCGTCCCCTTCCACATTTGCTAAAGTCGGTTCCCTGGCTGTCCGCTGGGACCTGGGAGGACAATAGGCCTGGGTCCTCCTTCTTGGCACTGCTCTGTGCCTGGCTGCTCCTGCATTCCGGGCTTATGTGTCTTGGGATGAGCCCCTATTACCTGGCTCGTCCTCCCCTGGCAGCTCTCCCTGCCTGCCCAGACTTCCCTTCCAACTGGCCCCACTCCTTTTCCCAAAGGTGACCCAGGTTGCCAAAAGGAATTCAACAGGAAGGCATTCGTTCACCCTCCAGGCCCCCATGTGAGGCCAGGAGCTCACTGCGGTCCAGCAGAGGATTCAAAACCACCTTTGTATTCAGGGCAGATGTTAGAGGCTGGCAGCCCAAGTGCCAAATCCAGCCCAATGGTGTATTTTGTCTATCCTACGACTGTGTGTGTGTGTGGTGCTTTGAATAGATACTTAAACATCAGGAGAGTGCGTGTAAAAACCTGGATGTCTGGCTTCTTTTGAATCAGAGGACCTAGCAGCAGTGGGTCAAGATCCTATGCCCCAAGATGGGCCAGAGAGCTCGTTTACCACAGGCCCACCTGCCGCTGTCACCCCACTGCTCCTCTCACTTCTGGCATTTGACTCTGCTGCTTACTGAACACTGACATCTGCTCTCTCTGGATGCTACATGTTCCTCAGCCTGCTGGACCTATGAAGTGATGGACACTCAGAGAGATAAGGCAACTGCCCAGGGTACCCATTCCAACTGCGCTCTGAGCAGGTGTCTCTTGGACTCCTGCCCAGGCCTCTGACCCTGCCTGCCTTGATGTCTCTGTGTCCATAGCAGCCTGATTTCTGAGTCCCAAGTTCTGTGCAGAAATTGGATCCCCAGGCCCTGCCTCAGGAGCAATCAATGGCACCAGGTGCCCCGCATTGCTTGGCCAAGAGGAGCCACCAGGGCATCCAAGGGGAAGTGCAGGTGTGACCTGGCTCTCCTCACATGGATGACACAGTAAGCAACTGCCCATCATCTCCCTCAGTGCACACTGGGTGCATTCTAAGTGGCCCGTGAACCTGTCATCTTACCTGCTGGAACAAGGTTGATCTGGTGCCCTTTGCAGGGTGGGCCTGGCTCCCATGGATGAGTTAGACATCTTCACTGGCCTTGACTCGTAGTTCATTAAAGCCTCACAGTTAACTGACAAGGGCAGCTGATATCATCTCCATCTTGAGGACATGGAAACAGAGTCTGGGTGGTCAGGCCAGGCCCTCAGGGCTCCTCATTGCATCGGCAGGCCTGTTGGCTGTCTGGCACAGTGCCTGGGATAACATAAGCCCCAAATGCTGCCACACTGAATTTGACCTCACTCAGGTCCTTCACAACAGTTGTATCCAGGCATTGGATTGCTGGGGGAGGGGGCCAAGGGGAGAGGAGGATGTGGAGTCTCTGGCAGGAGCTCCATCAGGAATGTGGGTTTTGGAAGAAGATAAAGAGTAACCGAGTTTCTAGCCAGTGGAGCTGATGGTCCAGCATGAAAAATACACTAGGGATTGGGGCGGGGGAGGTGGAAGTGAGATGGGGGGATGGAGGGGATGCCAGTTATACAAATCCAGGGCTGAGAGGAGATCTGGCCAGAGGAGCAGTTATGAGAAAGAACAAGTGCATCAAATGAGGGTGAGGAGGGCATGAAGGTCAAGAGGAAACTCCAGTGTTGGGCAGGACTGACTTGTTTGGTGCTAACCAAAATCCAAGCCAATTTAGGGGAAAAAAGTAGATTGATTGTCTCCCAAAGAGGGGAAGTGCCAGTGTAGCTGCATCCGGGGCACAGGTGCTGCCTCTCCCACCTCACTCTCCAGCTGATCCTTCCCCTTCCAGCCACAGAATGCCACACACACACACACACACACACACACACACACACACACACACCCTCTATACCTCCAGCCTCTCTTGGAGTTCCATCAGAAGTCCTAGGTCAGTCTCTCATTGTGTCAACCTGGTCACATGTCCATCTAGGGACCAATCATGTGGCAGTCCAGAAGCAGGAAAGTGCTGCCCAGCAGGACCTTCAGGACACCCCTCCTGGAGGGATGGCAGGATCAGTATGGAGAGTGTTGGTCATCATGGGATTTTGGGAGGAGAATAGAGACCACACAGAGCTGGGGTCCCCAAGATCAGGGTATCAGGATCTTGGAGGGGGCACCCTGGTCTGGCAATCAGGGCATGCCCACTGGCTTCTGTCCGAGCAATTGAGCTGTCCCCAACAGTGACCATGGGTGTATGAGTGGCCCTTTGGAGGCTAGAGTCATGCCAACCCTTCCTTCCTTCCAGGGATGAACACTCCAGTCTCTTCACCGCAGCACCGTCCGGCCAATGTCAGCCCACTATCCCTGAGTTCGGAGACACGGCGGCAGCAGCAGGCACAGCAGGTGTCACCCACCCTCTCCCCGCTGTCACCCATCACTCAGGTTCGAGAGGGCAATGGCGTGGGGGACGGCCCAGTTCTGTCTCTCTGGGAGACCTACTCCTTCCAGGGAGACCTTAGAAACAGCCCAGCATTTTTGGCTTTTTGTCAATTTTTTAAACACATGGGAAATGCATTAATCAGTGACCTGGAGTCCCCTGTGCCATCATGGGCAGGTCCTATGTTAGCAATTGCTGTGTGAATGGGGCATATTTCAATTATGGTACTTTCTCTTTTTTAGGATCTAGTTGAAATTTTCCAAAATAAAATTTTAGAGAGGTCTCCCTCTCTCCCCCAATTTACTGTAATTTTGATTTTTTGGTAATGGTGTATATATAGAAATTAATCTGTTTCATCTAGGTCACGCAGCAAGCTGGTGTATGATTGTTCATAGTAATAGTACTCTCTCATAATCCTTTTATTTCTGTTAAGTTGGTAGTAATATTCCCACTTCCATTTCTGATTTTAGTAATTTAATTCTTCTCTTGTTTACTTAGTCACTTGAGGCTCATAGAATGAGTTAGGAAGTGCTCCCTCCTCTTCTGTTTTTTGTTTGTTTTGAAGAGTTTGAGAAGCATTGGTGTTAATTCTTTAAATGTTTGGTAAAATTCATGAGCGAAGCCACCTAAGGTCTGAGCTTTTATCTTCACTGGGAGGTTTTTTTTTATTGGTTCAACCTCCTTACTTGATATAGGTCTACCCAGATTTTCTATTTCTTCTTGGGTCAATTTTGGTAATTTGTGTGTTTCCAGGAATTTGTCCATTTTATTAATTTTTAAAAAAATATGTTTTCATTTATTTTTAGGGAGGGAGAGAGAGAGAAACATCATTGTGAGAAAGAAATATCAATTGGCTGCCCCCAAAAGCACCCTCACTGGGGATCAAGCCTGTAACCTGGGCATGTGCCCCAACCGGGAACTGAACCAGTGACCCCTTGCTCAACCAACTGAACCACACCAGTCAGAACTTGACTATTTTTTAAAAATCCCTGACAGATAACATTTTTGTTCTTTGTTTTTTATTAATATAACCTTAATGGCATAATTCATTTATAACAAAATGAAGTCATTCACACATTTCAATGCCTGTTCTGGGCCTGGTTCCCCTCCGTGTCTGCTTGTACAGTGGTCTTGTTCAGATCAGGATCCACAAGAGCCATGGTGGTTTTTCTGGCAGCTGTGTCATCACTCTCTCCATCTGTGACCCCTGCCCCTTTTCTCCACCCCCAGTCTCTCAGGCTTGCTTTCCCTTTCTGGAAAGTACTTATTAGAGATTAGGCATCTGCTAAGCTCCCGGGCATGTACTGCCTCCATCACAGGGCAGGATTCCTGCATATCCCAGGGACTCTGTACAAACTCATGACTTTTGAAAACTTCCTCTGCTTATTTTCCTCTTTCCAACTCTGAGAAGGCTTGAGCTGGTTATCACCTAGTGGCTACATCAGTGCCTTCATCACTCGCACCCTCGCTAACCTCCCAGGTGAGCCAGGCTGCAGGATGGTGATGAGCAGTCCCTTCCGCTCTCTGAGGGGAATAGGCTGGCCACCCTCTAGGTTATCGTAGTGTGATACCTGGTGCCTGCCTGCAGTGGGGAAACTTCAGTTCAGAGAGGCGTGGGTTTCCTGAGCCTGTGTGAATACAGAAAGTTGTGCCTACCTCTTGGTGTGCAATGAGGGTAAAAGAAAGGCTGGTGGGGTGTAGGGTGCAGCCAGCTGGATTAGATGCCCAGGTCCAGCTGACCCTCCATAGCCCTGGGTGAGGCCCCGTTTAGGCCTGTGCCTCCCGGTCCAGGGTGTGATGTCTCTTTGTTCATCTCTGTCACATTGTTGCTGAGCTTGCCAGGCCATGAGGGCCCCTTGGGGGACCAGGTGCTTGTGGCCTGGCCCCCCATGCTGACACCTGAATCTGAAGCCCTTCTCTTCCCACAGGCCGTGGCCATGGATGCCCTATCTCTGGAGCAACAGCTGCCCTACGCCTTCTTCACCCAGGCAGGCTCCCAGCAATCAACTCCACCGCAGCCCCAGCCCCCGCCACCCCCGCCACCAGTATCCCAGCAGCAACCATCCCCACCACCTCCGCAGGTGCCCATCAACCTCCCCCCAGGCAGCCCCCTGATGCCGAGCACCAGCCTGTCGCAGGGACCCCAGCTGCCCCCGCTCCTGGTCACAGTACCGTCCTCTCTCCCCCAGTCCCCCCCAGACAACCCAGGCCAGCCACCGATGGGAATCGACATCGCCTCGGTAAGCCCAGGACATGGTCGTCGAGGCCTGGCCTCAGGGTCTGGCTGTGGGGTCATGCAGGAGGAACCTGGGGCTGTGGGAGGCTCTGTTGGGTGCCCAGTTTTGTCTGCAGCCACCTCAAGGTTCCATTTGGAGGCCAACTTGCCAGGGTTTGGGGCTGAAGCAGACACTGCCGGGGCTCAGCACCCAGTGGAGTTTCTGCTGAGTATGTCACCCCATGTACACATGGGGAAACCGAGGCACAAGCACGTGTCAGTGCCCCAAACCTTACCTAATATGGGCTACCCATGTCTGGCTGCCAAGCCATTCCCCATGGCCCTTGATACCTGCCCCTGCCCTTCCCATCCAAAACAGGGCTTCCCTGGAGGTAAGGAGAGCACAGCTCTCAGGGCCCAAGGCACAGGCATCTGCAAGCCAGAGGGTCAGAGGTGAACTTGGAGGGGAGGAAGGGATGCAGCACAGTGTCTGAGCCGGGGGCTTTAGCTCAGACCCTGGGACCCCCCTGCCTGGACCAGGGCTGAAGCTCAGTTACAAGATGGGACCATGGGACCCACTTCCTGGGCTGGGGCAGTGGAGCTGCGGCTCAAACCATGGGACCCTCTGCCCAGCCAGGGACTGCAGCTCAGACCATTGGATGCCCCACCAGGGCTGAGCTAGGTTTTTACCTCTGCAAACCCAAAGCTTCCTGATTGTTCAGACTTTGACCCTGATTACTCTGGTGGGAAGAGGGTGGTCATTGCTACCTTTAGCAATCCAAAGGAACAGAGACCCATGTTTGGGGCACAGTGAACCCTCCCCATTCAGCCTTCAGTTAACAGCCCTGGGATAAAGCTCGCTCTCAGAACATCATGTGGTCTGCAAAGAACAGCCACCTCCCTAAGCTGGTGGTCAGGCAGTGACCTAACAGTAGAGACCCACATTTCCAAGCTGCTCCAACCCCTTAGCAGGCAGACGCGCCCCCCCTCCCCGCCCCCTACAGGAAAGTACCCAAGCCTTTCCTTTAGCATTAACACAGCAAGTGTGGGGGCAGCTCTGATGCTGGAGCCAACCTGGGCACCCAGCTCCCCAACACCCTCCTGCAGTGGGGCCTGGCTACGGAGCTGGGTGGACATTGTGGGCACGGGTATTCAAACCAGGTGCACACACAGTGCCTCCCCAGGCTCCCAGGTCAGAGAGTCTATCTCCTGGTGCCCCCAGGGACAGCTGGCTCCCTTGGGGCACAGGCAGTCTCCTGCAGAGTTTCTGCAGACTCTCCCAGGCAAGAGCATCTCTCGGGACATTTTCCTGGTCTTCACCAAGTGACACACTGGTGCCACCCACACCCTATTAATTGAGCTCCCATGCCCCACCCAGGCTCAACCCCCATCACAAACTGCTCAGAGTAGGTCACTGAGGAAATGCGGAGACTGAGCACTCATAGGGCCTTGGGCCTCCATGAACAGCAGGCTCAGAGAGGTCAGGCAGGGTTTAAATCCAGATCCTGGCCCAGCCTGTCTCATCTGTGGTGAGAAACCAGAGCCTGGTAAGAAGCCAGGGTCCTCTGCCTTTGAACAGGGAGGTAGCCAGCCCTCTGAGGTCTCTGGAGAGCATGACCCCATCAGGCTTGTCCTAAGCCACGCCAGTGATGGTGACTTCTTAGTGCTGGGAGCCCTGCTGTCAGTACCACCATTTTGAGGTGGGCAGGGTATGCCAGTACAGACTCGGGACTGAGAGCCAGGGATCCATCCAGAGTCAGGAGCAAAAGGCAACGCCTGCCCACCCAGTCCTAGGCCATCTCCGCCTTCGTGTGTGTGAGTGTGCATGTGTGTAGCTGTGCGCACATGTGTGTAGTGTGGTTGTTTTGAAGCATGTTGAATCGAGGTGGACCCAACCCTTACTCCCCCACAGCCCACAATTCCATGATGCTCGGTTCTAGGTCCTCTGACTCCAGCCCCCAACACCTGGGAGCTGGGTTTGGAGACAGGTACCCCTGAGGCCCCGAACTCTAGCCCCAGGTCCTCTGCTCACTGAGGGGTGGGGCCTTGTGGGAGGCTCAGCTGGGAGCTGGGCTGGGGCCTCCACGTCCTGACCTGTTTGTCGTCACAGGCCCCGGCTCTGCAGCAGTACCGCACTAGTGCCGGCTCCCCAGCCAACCAGTCTCCCACCTCACCCGTCTCCAATCAAGGCTTCTCCCCTGGGAGCTCCCCACAAGTAAGGGATGCCGACACTCTATCCCCAGCTCACCTCGCCCCCCTGTGCCCTCGCCTGCCATCTGTGCCTCATGCCTCACATCATCCCATCTCGTCTGCTCCATGTGGTTGGGAGGAGAAGGCGCTGCCCCTCGTTCCCGCTGCTCCTCTGGTCTGTGCAAAGCTCCAGCTGGAGGTGGTGGGCTCCTCAGCCTGTTAAAGATCACAGTGCTGGCCCTGGCCAGGTAGCTCAGCTGGTTAGTGTTGTCCTGATGCACCAAGGTTGTGGGTTTGATCCCTGGTCAGGGCACATACAGGATCTCGGTGTCAGCCACACCCCAGCTCCTTGTCCATGGTTGGGGACAGCCCCAAGTGTAGCTCAAACATGGCATCCAGTAGCCTGTTAACATGTCCTCACCTGCATCTGACCACCCTGAGGCCTGGTGTCTTGAGGCTTTTGAAAGTGGGGGGTGCTCCCCTTGTTTTGGAGCATAGCTGAGGTGACAGCCAGTTGTGGGGGTGCTGACTACTCAGGCCCTTTCCCTCCCCTTTACCCCCTAGGAAGGTGTGTCCCCCAGAAAGCTTCTCTGAACAGTACCTGTCAGGTCCTTGTTCCCCTTCCACAGATGAGACAGGTTGACTCTAGGCCCTAGGCAACAGGCAGGACTTGACCAATCCTGTCAGATGCAGGTTACCTTCCCACACCTGGCACAGTTGGTCCCTGATACCTAACATGCACACACCCTGTCCAGGTTCCTCAGGGTTCCCCTTAGCCTGGCTCGGCTGTAGCCATATTCCATCTGGAATGTTCCATCAGAGAGGAAGGGGTGCTTGAAAAGCTGACATCTGGGCCCAAGACATCTCACTTGCAGTGAAGCCTCTCCAGGACTCTGCCCCTCAGTCCCCAAAATAACACTAAGTTGAGAAACCCCTAGGAGCCCCTGCAGTGCTCCAGGCCCCAAGCCTTATTCTCAGCCAAGGGGAGAGAGGATTCGCCTTTCTGCATAGAGCAAGGAGCAGAGCTGCCCCTCTAGACAGGCAGGAAAGACATCAGGCTCCCTTGTCCCCAGCTCAGACGTGCACCCTGAACCCAGACTTGTGTTGGGACAGTGGGCATCCCATTCAGGGAGGACTTGAGGCTTCATCTGCTATAGGAGGGGCCCTCAGGTGCTGCCTCCACACCCACAGCCACCAGGGATCCTGCTGGGACCATCAGTGTGTAGCCTCCTGCTCTGTAGGCAGGCGGAGAGGGTGGCAGTAAGCTTGGGACAGGCTGGGGCTCGGCCTGATGTCTGCACGCTCTCTGTTCGTGCACCCCAGCTCTGAGTTTTCATGACTCCCAGAAGGTGGTCTCATCATGTGGTACCGTGGGATATAGCGGGCTGGAGGAGCTGCACCTGGCAGGGGAGGCAGCAGGTGGGACCTGTACCAGATGGGCAGCCCTCCCTGGGGCCAATCCCTGAGTAGCATCCCTCTAATTCAAAATAGGACAGGAATTTGAGGGTCAAGTAGATTTCTTTCAGGAGAGATTTGTGGTCCATCCACAAATGGTCCAAAGTGGTCCATCCCAGGCAGAGCCTTTTCCTGTCATGTCAAGCCACCATCTGTGTGTCGGTCCATCTGTCAAGGGATGCAGACTGCTAACTCATGTGTGAGGATGGGGCCATCAGGCTGTCAGACCCCAACCAGAGACACTGTCTTAGAGGGGCAATGGGCTTGTTCAGAGGCAAAGTGTTGGGCAGAGGGCAGACCTGACTTCCTTCTGTAGGTTGAGTCCTCCAGGACACAATCACCAGCCCCATAGGCCTATGCCTCCCTGGCCTTGAGCAGATGCACTGAGCCTCAAGCAGTTGAGATCGTGTCTTGTGTGCTGCCTCCCTCTTCAGTTCTGAGCAGACCTTCCTGCAAACTCTCATGGCCTCCTCACAAGAGAAACTGTGGCCTGAGGTCCCCTGTGCATGCTGGGCCTCTGGGGCCAAGGCCACAGGGACAGGAACAGGTGCCTCAGAAGAAACCTGCCACCTCCTTCATGGGCAAAACCAGCCAAAACCTTCAGCCCCTTTTTTAAACCAGAAGCTGGTAATTTTTAACTCTTCCCTGGTGTTTGAATAGAGCATTTGTTCCCAGGAGCCTCCCTGCCCACCAGAGTAGCCATCTGTCCCTTTCTGCTCTCAGCCCACTGACCACCTGGAGCAGCTAGTGGGTTTGTGGCCAATCATTGTCTGGAATGGAAGCCTGAGACTCAAGCCTTGGCCATTGTCAAGCATGTGGGGACCTTTCTAGAACAGGGAACTCAGGGGGAAGGTTCTAGGGCCTTTAATCTGTGGAGACATTTGAGAGGATGACGCCTGGGAATGGCCATGGTGCAGCAACTTCCATGAGCCATCCCGTCCTGCAGAAGAGATACTTCGGGTCTGGGCTGGGAATATATCTGTCCAGACCTGGTGTTTCGGGTGTAGCCAGGACACACACCAGCCATCCCTCTCCTCCCTCCCACATCCTGCCAGGCTCCATCCGGCCATCCCTGGCAGTATCTCCAGAATGGGCAGGGGCTCCAAGCTCTTTCTGGTGTCTTCACCACCTCTGAGGTCCTAGCCCCCTGCTTCTCTCCCAGGAGCATCTCCCAGCCCCCTTCCCTGGCCAGCCTGAGCAAGCGGGAATGGGGCTGCATGCCCACCAATGAGCCCTGGGGTCTCGAGGGCAGGCTGCCAGGACTCAGCAGGTGAGAGGGGGCTTTCTGAGTGCCTGTCCTATGTTTGCTCTGCACTCATCCTGTCCACATGTGTGGACAGGGCCTGACAAAGCTCACCAAGTGCTCGTCCCATTCTGAATATTTAGGGAATCTTGTGCCTTGGTACCAGTTACATGCTTTCCTCTGGGACTTGTCAGGATTCCTGATCCTCATATCCCCCACTCTCTCATCTCTGTCTGACAGAAAGGAGGTCACCTACATCTGAGCTTAAGGAAAGGAGATGGGGGTGGCGTTCTTGGGAAATGTCAGGGTATAGAGCCATCCCACCCCCAGCAGGCAGGAGAAAGAAGCCATCATCCTGAGATGGGGGAGTTGCCAGCTCAGTGTAGGCACCCTGGAATAGCTGTTATCCACCTCCCTTGTCTCCTGCATCCTTCACTAGGTCTCAGGGGCCTCCCTGTGGGCTCAACTGGCCTATAGGAGCCTCCCCCCCCCACCCAACCTAGTCATGGGGATCATGACAACAAAAAGCCTCTCTTCTATCTGCAGCATTCTTCCACCCTGGGCAGCGTGTTTGGGGACTCGTACTATGAGCAGCAGATGGCGGCCAGGCAGGCCAATGCTCTGTCCCACCAGGTGAGCGGGTGCCCGGGCCACAGCGCCCTCAGCAAATGCTTGCCCGGACCCCGCCCGCCCTCGGGAGTGAGTTCTGCTCCTAGCCCCTCCTGTCTACAGGCAGTGGCGCACGTGACTGCCTTTGCCTCTCCTGGCGTATGCACCTGGTGTGTCAGTGAACGCCAGCAGGGAGGGCAGTGGCTGTCACAGTGGCACTTGACATGGGCCATGCATGTGAGTTTGCGGGAGGTCAAGTTGGCTTTGTGTGGAGGCCAGAATCAGGCATGCGGGCACAGGAGGGGTTGGCCGCTACCTGGAGCTGGTCACTCAACCATCCATCCATTTATCCATCCATCCATCCTGCAAGCCCTGAGGGTGTGTATGTGGGCAGGCCCGTGTGGGTTAGGAGATGGCGATACCCCAGGGCAGAGGGACTCGTGTGAGCAGCCTTCACGAGGATGGACCTGAGCACAGCTCTGAGCATCCTGCAGAAGAGGTGGTCCGGAAGTCTCAGGCAGCCCTTCCCACAGCAGCAATGCTCAGTGGCCAGCCTCACACCCTGTGTCCCCTCCAGCTGGAGCAGTTCAACATGTTGGAGACCGCCATCAGCTCCAGCAGTCTGTACAGCCCGGGTTCTACACTCAACTACTCGCAGGCGGCCATGATGGGCCTGACGGGCAGCCATGGGAACCTGCAAGACACACAGCAGCTTGGTTATCCCAGCCACAGCAGTATCCCCAACATCATTCTCACAGGTGAGGTCCTGTCTGAGGTGTCCTAGGCAGGGGTCTCAGCCCTGGGGGAGATGGAACTCCCTGCCCTATAGGGTGAGTCATGACACAACTGAGGTGTCCCTGCCTTTGGTGTGGACCCAGAGAGACCAGACCCTTGTTCCTAACCTTGAATCGCTGCCGGGCTGCAGACAGGCAAGGGGGACATACACCTGGACCCCACACCAGGCATACAGCACCTTGTGCTCAGAGCAAGTCACTCTCCCAGCCCTATGCCTGCCACCCAGGCACCTGAACACTGTTAGCTGAGTGTGTTGGGAATGTAAGTGACCATGGCAGGAGGTGAGCCCTGCATGGCAGGAGGGGTGCTTCCTGTGCAGTCAACAGGAGAGTAACAGCTTGTACACGCTGCAGTATGTGTCTCAAACGGCCTGAGTATAGTGCCCAGGTGTGTGTGTGAGGAAGTCCTGCTCCATGTAGCAGAGCCCAGACCTGTGATGCCCTCTCCACGCCATCACCCCTCCTTCCCTCCACCAAAGGCTCTTGGTTTTATTGAAGAAGGAAGTAGTTTCCTTATAAGCCAGGGCTGTGTGGGATTGAGGTGGACACCCCCTCCCCTGGTGGTCCCCACTCAAATCTCCAGGATGGATGGGTCTATGCCCAGAGTCCCCCCAAGGCTGGGACCCCAAGTATAGACCCAGTACTTCCTCCCTACCCTAACGGTGCCTCAGGTACCTGGGGAGGACCAGGCCCCATGATGACCCTGACAGTCCAGAAAGATGGATACTTTTAAACATATATACATATGTTTATGTGTGTGTGTTTATTGACGTCAGAGAGAGAGAGAGAGATAACATTAATGATGAGAGAGAATCACCGATTGGCTGCCTCCTGCATGCCACCCACTGGGGATCAAGCCCACAGCCCAGGCATGAACCTTGCCCGGGAATTGAACCGCGACTTCCTAATTCACAGGTTGACACTCAACCACTGAGCAACTCCGGCTGGGCAAGATGGAGACTTTTATACTGGTTCCTAAATGGGGAAACAGGCTTGGGGACTCCTCACAAGTAGAGGAGGGATTCCAGGTTTGAACCAGGGTCTCTAGAGGAACAAGACTTCCTCCATGCCACAGGGAGGGCCCTGGATGTGCATGCCCAGCCTGCTTCTCTGACACAGGAGGAGGCTACCTGCTGATGTCTGGGGCTGGACCTTTCTCTGGGTAGGGCCAGCCTGTGCACTGTGGTGTTGGGCAGTGTCCCTGGGCTCCACATGATGTTAGTAGCACCCCCTTCCCTAGTCCTGGCAGCTAAAAATGTTCCCTGGGGTGGCCCAAGCCCTCTTCCCTGAATGTGGGGGTAGGGAGCCAAGACTGAGCTGACTTTTGTGTCCCCCTAATCCAGTGACAGGAGAGTCCCCTCCCAGCCTCTCTAAAGAACTGACCAGCACGCTGGTTGGGGTTGGTGATGTCAGCTTCGACTCTGACAGCCAGTTCCCTCTGGATGAACTCAAGATTGACCCCCTGACCCTGGATGGACTGCACATGCTCAATGACCCTGACATGGTCCTGGCCGACCCGGCCACCGAGGACACCTTCCGGATGGACCGTCTGTGAGTGCACACCCAGCACTCTGCTGCCCAGCCCTGGCTCCGTCACCCCGCCGGTCAGTGGTCCCAACGGAGTCTCCCTGAGCCCAGGGACTGCACACTCTGTCCCTGCAAACGGCCGAGCTTGTGATTCTGAGCTTGCAATACCGCCAAGCACTCCCGCCCCCGCCCCCCCTCGGCTGTTCACCTCCCTTGGGAGGCTGTGAGTTGCCCTCTAGGACTCCGCCCTGTGCACACTCTTTCACCTCCCACCCCAGGCCATGAGCCATCAGTCCCTGTAAGATGCAGAAAGCATGTTGGGCGGGGCCACAGGCCTGGGGGCACCGGGGTCTGCTCCTCACTGTGGTGGGCAATGTGCATTTCCGACTGTTGTCCAGCTCTCACTGCCTTCCTTCATCCCTGGTTCCTACCCTCCACCCCGTACCTGCCACCCCCAGGTTGTGGTTAGGTAGAGAGCCATCCCCACCCGACAAAAGGGAGAGAACGCCAGAGAGTGGGACAGACCCAGTGCAAAATAAACACTATTTTGATTGCTGTCTTTTCTATTCCTGAGCAAACAGAATGCTAGAACCCTTCCCATGGGTGTGGATACAAAGCTGTAAACAGAGCAGCTAGATCTTCCCAGCCTCCTGCCCCACCCACCCCCCCCCCCCCACCACCACCACCACCAGGTCCCTCTGGGGCTGCCTGTCAGGAAGCCGCTGGCCAGGGTGACAGGACCTGCTAGACAGCGAATGTGGAGGCGGGTTATTTCTAGGGGTGGGTTTAGAACTTGTTTTCATCTTTCCTGCTCTGTTCTGTGGTCACTGTTACTGTTATTTACAGACGTGTGGGAAGGGGGTGGCCAGGGCATTTTTGTTGTATTTTTTTGTTGTTTCTTTTGGTCTGTATTTCCACTTTGGCTGTAGATAAGTAGCTGACTCCTTCAAGCCAATACTTGCCTGAGAGCATCTTTTTATTCCTGAAATACTCCATTACACATGTTTTAAAGCTAACTGGAAGCAGTCTGCCATCTGAGCTGGGACCCTAGCCTCATTAGTTTCACCTCAAGGTATCTCAAAACAGAAGGGTTGAGTGGCTGCCCAGCCCAGTGAGGGCAGGTTGTGCCAGGCGAGGACTCTGACAGAAGCTTGGGTGACTGGAGGTGCCTTTTCTCTGGCTATGTAGCAGACTTCTGAGAAGGAGCCACTGCTTTTATTAAGGGTCTGGAGAAGACCTGGCTCTGCCTGGCCCTAGCGGTGCCCGCCAGTCCTCAGGGCTGGTGTGTCCCAGACCCTGAGGCTGGCAGCAGCTGTGGCCCCTCTGTTCCCAGACACCCCGGATGAAGTTGTCTCTCTCCCCATCCTGAGAACCAGCTGACATTCATCCCACTGGCCACTTCTGTTGTTGCTCCTCCTGGTAGGACTGGGTTTGGAGGCAAAGAGCAGCGAGCTTTTCGTGGTGGGTTTCTAGGTGCTTGCTTCTCAAAGTGCCTTGATAGGCAGAGGTGACCATCCCTCTGCCCTCCAGGCCCTTCGAGGGGGTGGCAGGCTGGCTCTGTTTTCTGTTGGCAGCTTTATTAGGAATCTCTGTTTCAGGCCCCAAGTTGCATCTCAACTTGCTCCTCCACATGCTGTTGAGCTGACACTTCTGCCTGGCGTTATTTCTTTGTGGTGTTAGTGGCCACCCTTCTGCCTAGGCTGTGGGAGCCCTTTCAATGGGAGCTGGATTTGATCCCAGCAATCGTCCTTCCTTTTTGCTTCTTGGCCAGGCTGTTAGCACGTATCCAAGCAGCCGGGCAGCCACACTTGTGAGAAGGTCTCCCTCAGTCACTTGGCCCCGCAACCATTGTCTGGGCTGGAGGAGCACAGTGTCAGTCTGTCCAGGTCCAAGGCCTATCCTTTTACTGTGGCAGGGACTGGGGACAGAGATGGGGACTTTTTTTTAAAAAAAAAAAAAAAAGAAGAACATCTACATGTACATAGAAGAGTTTGGTTATCATTAGACTTGTATGTAGAACTTTTTAAAAAATGGCCTTAATATAATTACAAGCAACCTTCCTGGATGCAATTTTCAAACAAGGCTTTGGGATCCAGTGAGGGAGCCTTGTCAGCCCACGCTTCCCATCTGTCCAGCACCAGTTCTAGGTGCAGACAGACAGGAGAGGCCCATGGCCTGGAGCACAGGTACCATTGTATTAACATGCATTCTCTGCCTATGAGAGGTGTAGGTGCAGAGCTATCCTCGGAGGGGGCCCCACCAGGAGCCAGTGGTCAGGCATCTCCACGTCTTCCTGGGCCTTGGGAGGCCTCCTGGGGTCTGCAACAGGGAATTTTTTTTTTTTCTTAAATATCACTTCTCTACTAAATATTCTTGAGTTGCCAAGACTTTCTGAGGCAAGACAGCCTAAGGGAATCAGTCTTTTGACTTGTGATGTGAAAATACTGTGATTTTAGGTAAGCTGCGCCAGGAAGGGCGGGCCTGTGCCTATATTCTTTATGTAGACCTACCGCCCATGTCCTACTCACAAGCGCGGGGCAAGACTGGACTTCAAGCCTGGACACTGAGCCCACATGGGCTCAAAGGCCATCCAGGTCCCCCGGCTGCCCACTTCCTAGTGCTCCTGGCTTTAGCTGAGCCCCCTCAGCTGTGCAAACCTTTCCTCTGGGAGCTCAAACTGCCTGGCCTATCCGCATCTGCCTCAGTTTACCCTCTTCCCTCCAAGTCCCCAGGGCAATGAGTTTGTTCCTCTACGTAGCTCATGGGCTGAGATGGATCCTGGGATTAGCAACTCTCTATATTCTCCAGAGAAGAGGGTTGTACCCAGGACTGACTGGAGGAGAAGACAGGGTCTCGGGATCACATCCCCCATCACAGATGCCCATGCTGACCTCCCCGCTCCATGCCCTTACAGGGGGAAGACAGGTAGCACTGTTTGGACATCCTGCAGCCCCCTCCCCTTGACACTCCTGGGCAGGAAGGGTGAGTGCCAGTCTCTTGGGGCAGAGGTGCTTGAGACCCTCAATGGAGAACTCAGGGGGCAGGTCAACCCCTCAGCAAAATTTGGGGACTCACAGCCAATGGTATTCAAAAGTTGGCCAGGCTCCCCAGTGGGGACAAGCCACAGTAGAAGGGGCCCTAATTAAAGTGGGTCCAGCACCCCACAGGGGTCCCTGGGACCAGCTATCGAGGGCAGGGCTGTGTGCTTCTTGACCTTTCCCCAGGGATGCCTCCCCACCCCCTTGCGTGGGCTGGCCTTTTGGGCCCTCTGGGCTATTATCTGCTCATGGGTTTTCAGGGTAAAGGAGGGTTCTGAGTGGTTAGTGTGTTTGACCTGATTTTCATTGGCCGAACTCCTGGAAGGACATCCAGTGGGGTGGTCGCTGTGAGGCCCATGTGTCACAGTGGAGTGGGTGAGGTCAGCTCTGTCAGATGAGGCGCTGTGTGTGGAGGGCAAGGGGCCCCGTGTCCATTCATGCATTCTGCTGGGGCCAGATGTTCAGTACGGCGGACCTTGTCTGTCAGGTTCCTGGGCCTGATGAGTGCCCATGAGTAACTTTCCCTAAGGAGCCATGGGGCCCCTAAGCTGGTTCATAACCAAACATCCCTCCAGTGCCCCCTCCACTGGACTCAACTTCCTGCTTTTCCACAGGAGGCACCCCCAACCCCATATGAGGTTCTGGAAGCTTTAGGGGATTGACAAAGCATCCCCTGGGTTCTGATGAAGCTGTGGTCAAAGCTTGGGTTTGGGGTCCTCAAGGTCAATGGTACTGGGCACCCTGGTCCTGGCCCATCACTCCTGCAGGTGGCATTCCAGGTGAGGGGTCTGTGGCTGCCTGAGCCCGCCTCATGTGGCCTGCAGAGCTGCGGGAGGACTTAGTGCCTCACCCACTCTGGGAGGCTCACCTGGAGTAAGTGTGCAGCTGGGTCTGTTTCTGTCCCCATTCTTTTTGGTCCCTGGGCTCCCACCTCCTGGGGGTCTCACAGTATGTATGTGACTAGGGGCCCCTGTGACATTCCTTCAGGGGTGCTGGCTGAGTGGGGCTCATGCCTTTCGTTACCCTCGTGCCACAGGCAACTGGGCACTCCCCAGGAGAGTGAGGTAGGGTGACCTGCACCCCCAGGGCTGGGTAATGGGGTACTCCTGAGGGCATGGAGAGCAGATGCAAGACCCTTGTGAACTGGGCCTAAGATTCCCTCCTGTTACTGGCTCAGACCCATGGGTCTCAGGGCCCCTCCCAATCGGGGTGAAGGGCAAGGGTTGTATGTCAGGGTAATGCTGGCTGCAGATGGCTCCCTCTTCCTTCCATCCTCCTGGCCAGTTCCCAACACCTCATCCCAAGGAGCCAGGTTCTGGAATTTGGGGGCAATTGATGCCCAGTCTGTCACTTCTGACCTCTTGCCCACTCGGACAAGGGGACACTGCCATGGCCTTCCCCACCGGGCCCTGGGAGGGAGGCCTTTGGCAGCCAAAGTCCATTGCCCCCTAATGTGTCCCCCCAGGAAATTGCCCCCAAGGGGGCTGGGTGGCACTTCTAATATATGCAAACTCATCGGTCTGAGCCCTGCCCCACCTGTGTCCCTCTGTCCCCAGGCTGGCTCTGCCCCCCACCCCACCCCAGCATGTACACTCTGCTGTGGATGTCCCATGGGCCGTGCGTGTGGGTGCCCGTGGCGGGCTGGGGCGGGCGGCTCAGGGCGCACTCGGCCAGCCCCTGCCTGTCCTCTGGCGTGGACGCTTTTGTCTTTGTACCTTTGCATCCTTTGTAATGAAACCTAATAAAAACCCAATGTTTTCGTCTCTGCCTCCTCCCCTTTTTTCCTGCCCCCATTCTCCAACCCAGAGATGAAATATGTGTGTCACAGGTACACCTGGTGGGAACCACACACACACAGATGTGCGCCCCTCACAACCTCGCCCTACTAGCCAGCTACTTGGACGTGTGTCCTGGAAGGGGAGCAGCTAACCCCCCAGGATCCTGGAGCAGAGACTTCAGGGGTGGGAGAGCTGCAGCAACTGGACACTGCTAGTTAGTTCGGACGGAAGTCGGCAGTAAGGCCAGACTCCGCCATCTCCCCAAAGCAGAGACCACAGCCACCATCCTGCCGAACACACTTTATTTTGTCCTCTCTGATCTCTTCCCTCCCCCAAGGTTGGCTGCCCCTCAGTGCTCCAGGCCTGAGGGTGGCCGCCATCTAATGGCAGGTCCCCACCCATCCCTAGGCCTGCAGCAGCCCCTGCGCCTCATAGTCCTCCGGGATGGTGTCTGCGGAGGGAGAGACGAGAGGTGAATGAGAAAGGGTGAGGCCAACAGGGCAGACCCACTATCTAGCAGGCCCTGCCCTCATCCCGCCCCTGACCCCCTCCTCTTACCATTGCAGCGGTAGCGCAGGTTGGCCCAGATGATGTTCTCCTGGGAGAAGCAGAAGACACCCAGACGGCCGCCCCGCATAGTTGTATCCAAGACCACATTGCTGTCAGCCACCAGCTCAGGGCCCTCGTAGAACCGCACTCTGGGGGAGAGGGGGGCAGGGGACAGTGAAGCACCTCAGAGTTTTGGCGTCCTGCCCCGGAAGATGAGCCCCTCCTATCTCGGAGTAGGGGCCACGAGTCCCTCCTGCCTGACCCATACTCAGAGCAGGTGGCGTTCCTGACCGGACGCTCAGTTTCCCGGTGTGAGAATGGATATCCAGGATCCTGTACACAGTAGGTGCTAACTGGATTTCCTGTACAGAGTAGGGATTGAGAAATGGGGTGTGGGTGAGACCCCACCTTCTAGCTGGGCCCCACTGTGTGCTGGGTCCTAGGAGGGGTGTCATGCCCCAGGGCCAGTCACAGTTCATTCTAGCTGCTTGCATTGTACCCCAGAGTCTCTCCTTCCAGGAGCCAGGATGGAGCAAGGACTCAGTCCCTGGGCAGGGGTGGGGTCCCCACCTGATGTAGCCCACTTGGGGCCGGTGCTGCAGGAACCAGCGGTAAGACGTCTTGTCCTTCCAGCCCACGTTGCGGGGGTCCTTCCACAGCAGCCGCACCTGTGATGCCGTGTCCCCCGTGTGCCACAGCGCATTCCGCAGCTGCTCCCCAGGGCCCGTGGAGGACTTCACGGCCTGACATGCCCAGGAACAGGAGCAGAGGGTCAGAGACCACAGAGGCCACTGGAGCCTCTCGGAACCCTGCCTGGTGATTGCCTCAGGTCATGGAGAACTGATCGGAGTCTTGGGGGAGGGGGGTCTGGATGGGAGACCCACAGGAAGCCCCCTTGAGCACCACATGGAGTTTGCAGGTAGGTCATGGGGGGTAACAGAGGTCTGGGGACTCTCAATGAGAGGGTATGGAAGTCGGTGAAAAGGTCTGGGGTCTGGGAAGAATTGGGGGTCTGGAGGAGGGTTTAGTGACCTGTAGAAAGTTTTGGGTGTCTATGGGATAAACAGGGGTCTAGAGGATTTGGGAAATATCTGCAACATAGTCTAGGGCAGCCGTGGGCAAACTACGGCCCGCGGGCCGGATCCGGCCCATTTGAAATGAATAAAACAAAAAAAAAAGACCGTACCCTTTTATGTAATGATGTTTACTTTGAATTAATATTAGTTCACACAAACACTCCATCCATGCTTTTGTTCCGGCCCTCCGGTCCAGTTTAAGAACCCATTGTGGCCCTCGAGTCAAAAAGTTTGCCCACCCCTGGTCTAGGGGGTCTGCAGGAGGATTTGGAACCTGAGGGAAAGCTTTGGGCTCTGTGAGAGGGTTTCAGGGGCCAAAAGATGATTGGGGTGCTGGGTGAGGGTCTGAAGGCCTGTGAGAGGAAATGGGAGGTATTTGGGGCCTATGTGAGTCCAGAGGAGAGATGAGGGTGGGTAGGAAGACTTTGGGTTCATAGAATGATGCTGGGGGACTGTGAAAGCTTTGGGGTTCTGTGGAAGGGTTTAGGGCTTGCTAGAGGACATGGAACAAGAGCCCAGGAGGCCTCCTCCCCCTGCCCACCTTGAGCTGGATTCCAGGTTCAGCCACAGCACGGAAGGGGTTGGCCTGCCAATATGTCTGCTCCATCTGCTTCCACATGACCACGTAGAAGCTCGAGCTGTCCTGGTAGCCAAAGATGAAGCCAGCGTAGTCATCGTCTGTGACAGTGTTCACATGAAATGTGCCTTCGAAGTCCACGCCATTGAAAGCAGTGTAACCTGGGGAAGTAGGTGACCAATGGGATCCTGGACTCCCCAGAACCGCCCCCTCCAGAATCCAGCTTGGCCCCTGGGCCCGGACTCCCCGCTCAGTACACCCACCCCATCCCTACCCTCTGAATCCAGACACAGCCGTGCCCCCGAGCCCTGGACCAGGCTCAGCCACCCGGCTCTAGCCCAGACCCAACCTGACCTCGCCCCACCCTCACTCTGGCCCTGCCCCTGAGCATCTCTCCTGCAGAGCCTTTCCCCTCCCAGTGTCTCACCCACAGCCAGGCCAGGGTCGCTGTTCATCGTCTGCACAATCTCCATCCCCTAATAAGGACAAGGAAGAGGGGCCTCAGCCTGGCCAGGGGGCCCTCAGCGTTCCAGCCCCTAGGTTAGCACCCTAAGCGGGGGCTCTGAGTTCCTCCCACCTTCCGCCTGGTCCCTGCTCCCACCTGGTTGAGCACCACCCAGTTGGGGTCTATTTGTGCATCACCCTCGGGGTCCAGCACCACCGTCTGGAAGGCCCGAAAATCAGTGAGGGTGACCTCGGCGTTCTCTGGACAAACATCGATCTTGTCCACCACCTTGTCAGCGTCGAAGTCGCCCTGGCACGCATCACCTACGCCATCGCCTGAGAGGAGGTGGGAGACCCTGAGGTGGAGAGGTCAGCGCCAGGCTCCCCACTCCATGCCTAGCCCCGCCCACTCCAGCTACTGGCCACGCCCATACCTTCCATTGGCCCCACCAGGCCTATTTGAAAACCTGCCCCAGTGGCTCCACACACCTTGTCCCACCATGGGTCCCACTCCCCTGCCTTACCATCTGAGTCTTCCTGGCCCGGGTTGGGCACCAGGCGGCAGTTGTCCCGATTGTCAGGGACTCTGTCGTTGTCGTCATCCTCATCGCAGGCATCACCCTGTCCATCGCGGTCTGAGTCCTGCTGGGCGCTGTTGGGCACTGTGGGGCAGTTGTCCCGGGAGTCCTGGAGCCCATCCCCGTCCCTAGAATGGGTGGGGGGAGGCAGAGAAACAATGAGATTCTCACAGGACCCGGTCAGGGGCTGCCCATCCTGAGCCCCCATCCTAGAAGGCCTCCTTACTGGTCTTGGTCGCTGTCACAAGCGTCTCCCACAAAGTCGTGATCCACATCTCTCTGGGGGGTGGGGGAGGGGGGTGCAGGGGTCCACAATCAGGGCAGAGGAACTCAGAAGCCTCCAACCCAAGCCCAGTTCAAGAGCTCCTGACCCCAAGGAGCACCCCCTCCAGCTGCTTTGGAATGGGCTGCGGTCTTGTTAACAGCCTGGAGCTCAAGCCAGGGTCTGACCCCACTGAGGTCTGACCTGCCCTCACCTGGTCTGGGTTGCTCTTCTGGGGACAGTTATCACAGACATCCCCCACACCATCACCATCACTGTCCTTCTGGTCTGAGTTGGGCACCCTTGGACAGTTGTCCACTGCGTTTCTGATCCCTGCAGAAAGCCGGGGAACAGGGCAGGACCCAGAGATCAGGCGGGGCCAGGCCGGCTTCAGCAGGGCAAGTGCAAGCCTGGGGCAGAGTCCTGCCCTCTCCTAGCCCCGAGTTACTACAAAGTAGGCCCAGCCCCATAAAGACTTCATGAATAGATGGCCACGGAGGGGACTGGCCTTCACTAGGGGGCAGCTCAGCCAGGCCCTCCCTTTGCCCTGTGAATGCACCCCCGAGCTTCTATGCCCCAAGTGTAAAAAGGGCACCTCCCCGCCTGGCTGGCATGGTTTAGCGGTTGAGCGTTGACCTAGGAACCAGGAGGTCATGGTTCCATTCCCTGTCAGGGCACATGCCTGGGTTGCAGGCTCGATCCCCAGTGTGGAACTTGCAGAAGGCAGCTGATCAATGATTCTCTCTCATCATTATTGTTTCTGTCTCTCTCTCTCTCCCTTTCTCTCTCTCTCTCTCAAAAAAAATCAATAAATTTTTTTTTTAAAAAGGCACCTCCCCAACCCTAAACTCCAGATTTTGTCCTGCTTTTCCTCCCTGCAGCATCTGACATAGAGCGCGTTTTTCTGCTCCCCTGAGCATGGTCCATGGTCCTGAGCATCCCAGGTCAAACCCTGGGCTTTGGAGCCCTGCCCGGTTGTGCTCCAACCCTTATTCCCCCTCCCAGCACCCTCTCCCCCCCCCCCCCCGCCCCCCCCGCCTGGCTCACGGTCACCGTCGATGTCGTCGTCGCATGCATCTCCTTTGCCGTCCTGGTCTGTGTCCTTCTGGTCTTCGTTCTTCTGGGTTCGGCAGTTGTCACACGCATCGCCCCACTTGTCATCATCCGAATTGCGTTGGTCTGGGTTCCGGACCAACGGGCAGTTGTCCTAGGAGACAGGACCAGTTAAAGGGAGGGAGGAGTCAGGCCAAGTGGGGCAAAGGTCACATCCAAGATCAGCCCCTTTCCGACTCTGGGAACCCTTCACCGCACCGGACCAAGAGTCCAGCCTCTGCGGCCACGCCCTCGCCAAAGCCACGCCCCACCCAGCTCGCCTGGGCCCCGCCTTGGCCCCACCTCCTCGTTTACGACTCCGTCCCCGTCGGCATCGGGGTCGCAGGCATCTCCGATGCCGTCGCGATCCACGTCCTCCTGCCCTGAGTTGGGCACAGTCATGCAGTTGTCCTAGGGGCGGGCAGGGCCGACATGAGGGGCGTGCCATGTAGCCCCGCCCACACCACGACGGACCACGCCCTCCGCTCTTGCTCACACCCTCCCCTGCCCCCACCAGGTCTCGCCCCTGGTCCGCGCCCACCTTGCGGCAGTGGCGCTCTGAGCAGCGCAGCTTCTCATCTGGGAAGCCGTCCAGGTCCGTGTCTCGGCCGCAGAGAAGCCCATTGCCAGCCCAGCCGATGGCACACTACGGGTGAAGAGGTGAGTGGATGCTCCGGCGTCCCCGGACCCCGCCGCCCCGTTCCACGCCCCTTCCTGCACGCCTGCACTCACCACACACGATTTCGAGCCATCCCGCTCCAGGACACAGTCGGCCTTCTCGTGGCACGAGCTGGGAGTGCCGTCGGGGCACAGGCGCTGGGCGCGCGGGCGGCAGCCGGAAGCTTGGTCGCCCACGAAGCCGGGCTGGCACTGGCCGCACTGGAAGGAGCCCTGCATGTGGGCGGAGGGAGGTCAGCTCGGGACGCCGCCACTTCACCCCACCCCCTGCCCCGTCTCTCCATCCTCCTCTCCTCCCGGGCCTTACCCGCGTGTTGACGCACACGGAGTTGGGGACGCAGTTATGCTGCCCAGTCTCACACTCATTAATGTCCGTGCAAACCTGCGTGAGAGGGAGCGCAGCGGTCACTGCCCCCACGCGGACACCCCCGAGCCTGGCTCCGGGTGTCCTCTGCAGGCTACCCCTCCCCTCCACCCCGCCTCAAACCCGACCATTCCCAGCTCGGACCCTTACTCCCCTTCAGCCCGTCCCACCACCTCTCGCTGGAGCGAGGCAGGCAAACGGCCGCGAGGCTCGAGGAGTTCACGAAACAAAATGCGCACCCCCCCTCCCCCCGCAATCCTCCTGGCGCCACCCCCAAGGCCCTCACCTGCTTGTTGGTCTTGGCGAAGGGCAGCCCCACACCCTCGTGGGCGGGGCCGCTGTACCCCGAAGGACAGGCCTCGCATCGGAAGCCAGGGCTGGTGTTGATGCAGCGGACCCGAGGGAAGCAGGGATGCGCGTTACACTGGAGGGCAAGGGCCATGGAGGGTCAGAGGAGGCGGAGCCGTGCCCCACAACCCTGTCGCCCCCCGGCGGCGCCTTAAGGCTCCTTGGCTTGGAGTTGGAAAGTCCAAGGGCCGTCAGCCGGCACTCGAGGGGGGATGACACCTGGGGCGGAGGCCATCGTTCCTGGGGTCAAACGCGACTTTGCCTTGTTGGTAGAGGCGGGACCAGGGGAGGAGAGGGAACACCTGGGGGGCTGTTCCTGGGGCCCGGCAGGTTGGGCGGTCATGGGCGGGGGGAGGAATTGTGAGGGCGAGCGTCCCCAGCGGAGGGGGGCAGTGGTCGTCGGGGTGTGCGTGCCCTTCGGGAGGGGGGTCGTCGGGGCGGACTCTCCACGATGGTGGAAGGGTCGTTGGGGCTGCCGAGCCTCGGGGGTGAGGGGGGTCGTTGGGGTGGACCACTCTCGGCGGTAGGGGAGTCGTCGGGGCGGGTGTCACTGGCAGTGGAGCGAGGTGATGAGGAGGGTGGCCGGAGCGGGTGACCCCCGGTGGTGGGGAGGTCGTCTGGACGTGCGCCCCCGACGGTGAGGGGGTCCTCCGGGAGAGCACCCCCAGCTGGCGAGGAGGTCGTGGGGACGTGGGGGAGTTGGGGGATCGTCGGGGTGGTGGGGGCGGGCACACCTCGTTGATGTCGGTGCAGTGCGAGCCGTTGCCGGTGAAGCCCGCGGGGCAGGGGCCGCAGCGCGCGCCGCTGGCGGTCATGGTGCAGGCCACGCCGGGGAAGCAGTAGCCGGGCGCGCACTGGGGCAGGGGGCGCACGCTCAGGCCGGGCGTGTGCGCCGGCTGCATCCCTGCGGGGCAGACCCGGGCCGTCAGCGCCGCGCCGGGAGCGGAGCCGGCCAGCACCCGCCCCTGCGGAGGGCTGAGCCCATCGGGACCCACCCCGGCCGGTCCTCGCGGACCTCTGCAGCCTCCGCCGTCCGTGCCCTTGCGTCTTCAGCTTTCCCCTCCGCGCCTCCCCACCTCCCTGTGCCTCCCGCACCGCTGCTGCCTCCTTCTGTGTGTCCTCCTCCCACCATCTCTGTCTCCGTTCCCTTTTGTCTCTCCCCACCCCTCATCCACTTTCTCCCTCTCCGTCAGCCTCGTTCTCTTTTCCCCCCATCTCTCCTTCGCTGGCGGTGTCTCCCCAGCACTTCTTGCTGTCCCGCCGCCGGGGCCCTGCCTCCTTCGGTCCGCTCACCGCACGCGTCACACTCCATCACCGTGTTTTTCAGGAACGTGATCTCCTTGACCTGGTGTGCAGAGGGGATGGTGTGTGGTCAGCGGGCTCGGTTTTTCTCCTCCTCCTCTCTCCACTCCCCCGGACTCCCTCCCCTCTCTCTCCTCTCCACTGGGACACCCTTCTCCCGCCGCCGGCCCTCGCGCAGCCCCTACCTCCCAGCCCCTACCTCCCAGCCCCCAGCCCCCAGCCCCGCCTCCTCCAGGCCTCTCGCCGCTCGCCCCGGGCTCCACGACCCTCCCCCCCGCCCGCACCTGCTGCCTCAGCAGCTCCCGCACGTCCCGCAGCGCCGCATTCGTCTCCTGCAGTTCGCGCAGCATCTGCGGGCCCAGGTTTGCACCTGCACCGATAGGGGGCGCTGATGGGGTGTCGAGCCTGGGGACTCCCCCACGCAGCTCCTCACGCTGCCGCCGCCACAGACAGGAACCCTATTCCTTGAGAGCTTCCCCTGCTCCCCCGCAGCTGCCTGCTTTCTTCACCCCGCACGCCCCCCGCCAACCGCCCCCAGCCACCGGGAGCCGCGACCCCAGACCTCCCGCGGACCCTCCTGTCAGTGTAGGGGTTGGGAGCACGGTGGGGTGGGGGGCTTACCCAGCGGAACCTGGCTCTGGCCCTGACCCGACGCACCGAGGGCGGCCAGGGAGAGCAGGAGAACGCAGGCGGCTGCGGGAACCATGGCAGCGAAGGGGAGCTGGGCTTCGGCTTCTCTCTGCCGCCCACCCGGCCGGCGGGGCCTATTTATCCCAGCGGCGAGGCCGGCCCCAGGGACGGCCCACCACCGCCCTGCCCAGCGTCCAGCCGCAAGGTAAACAGCCAGTTCTGGCCTTGGCGTTCAAGGCCCCGCCCGGCATGGACCTAGTGGGGAAACTGAGTCATAGGGGGCCGGTGCAGGGGTCAGTGGGGTGGAGAGGCAGGTGGGACCACCCTCCAGCCCTCCCATTCACTTGCTTATTCAGTGCCTGCTGTATGCCAAGCCCGGGGCAGCCCCCTCAACTCACACTTGGGAAACAGTCAAGGGTGGCTAAAGGTTAAGACCCACCTCCACCTCCACCTCCCTCCCTGCTTTGGGTCAGGCTGTCTCACCCTTCACTCCCTCCCTCCTCACTTGCTTCAAAACGGGGCAAGTGAGGTCTCTGTGCCTCTGTTTCCCCCTACACAATGGTGGAAATAAGCGTCACTGTTAATGACCATTATTATTACAGGAAAATGAGGGGCCAAGTGAAAGCAGGGACCCTCATGCTGCCTAACCCCGTCCTCCGAGGCATGCTCCTGGGCCTGACCCCAGAGAGCTGCAGTTAACACCCCTCACCGTGTCTGGTGTCTGGTTTCCCCTCTCTGTGCTTCTCTGCCTGGTGGGTGCTCGGTGGGGGCAGCCTGGGGGCCAGCAGCGGGAGGCCACTCAGTTTCCTAGTCTGTGCAATTGGCTGTGGGTGTGTCCATTTCCCCCGGGGGAGGGGTGTACAAACTGAAGGGCTCCAGCTGGAAGTCTGAGGGGGGCCCAGACTTCTGTTTGTCAAGACCTCACCATACCTTCCAGAGCTCTGCTCCAGTTGCTGTGGGAACAGCCTGTAATAAAAATAAAAATTACTGCTAATCAGGAAAATCATCCTTCTCAGCCCAGCCACACTCATGAGCTGCAAAACACCTCAGTTTTCTGGAGTTAACCCTCTCTGTCCCTACCCTTTACGACTACCCTCCCGAGGCGTACAGCCTCTGTTCTAAGGGTGGGGAAACTGAAGCCCAAAAGGTGGAAGTGACTAGCTTAATACCATGGCAAGGGGAGGGTGACGCCAGGGTAGGGTCATAGCCAGATCTGTTCTCCTGAGAGGCTGTGGAGAAATCAATGAGGGCTTCCTGGAGGAGATGGCAAGGACACCTAAAGGAAAGGGAGGACTCAGATCAGCAGAGGGAAAAGGTGAAGACAATTCTGGCAGAGGGAAGCACATGGAGCTTGCAGGTGGGGAAATTTCCGGCACATTCCTTTATCCCACGAGTTTGCACTGAGCACCTACTGTGTGTCATGTCCTGTGCCAGATGCTGGGGATACTGGGTGAACAAGCCAGCCCCAGCCTCTCCCTCATGGGTAGCCCAGGCTGGTGGGAGGCAGCTACGTAATCATCCAAAGGGGCCAGGACTATGATGCAGGAGCTCCACAAGGAGCCTGACCCAGCCTGAGGTGGGAGGCGTCTGGGCTGGCTCCCCAAAGGAGAAGGGAACACCAAACAAGGACCAGGAAGATGAGGGGGACACGGCCAGGCAAGGAAGTGATAGAAAAGCATTCCAGATAGAGGAACAGCATACACAAAGCCGCTGAGGCAGAAATGAGCGTGATGGACAGGCTGATCTCAGGATGGAGAGATCTTGGGGCTCAAGAGAAAGCAGTGCCAGTGGTGTGGGGCTCGGGCTGTGTTCTGAAGGCAATGGGGACTCACAGAGGGTGAGTGAGGAGGGGTAGGCCTGGAGGGGAACAGCTGGCCCCAGCCTGGGCAATTCCAGTGAAACACCCGCCTTGCCTCTGCCTGCCATGAGCTCACCTCCTGTTTTTCTTGGCATCTGGCACACCTGGGGGCCACTCTGGGCTGGTGCTGGAATTCTTGGGAAAACCACGGCTCCAGCAGGGCCGGCAGGCATGCGTGTGCCTCATGCAGCTGGGACAAGGGCACATGGAACCCAGGCTCCTGCCACAGGCTTGGCACGAGGCTGAGGCTTGAACACACGTGGCCTTGTTGGGGCCATGGGAAGAAATGGGGAAGGGCACTTCAGGCAGAGGGAACAACTCAGGCAGAGTCTCCGAAGATGTCTCTGTCTGCATATCAGACAACAGAGGACCAGAGATAGGCATTCTGGTTTCATACTCTTGCCTCCTGGGCCCCACCAGCCCTGAAATACACTTTCTAGTAGTGTCCCCTTCCTCTTCATTTCCCAGCCTTTGTGCCTGCTCTTCCCTGCCACTCTAAATACCTTTCTCTGTCCTTTTAGTCCTGGCTTTGATGCCCCCTCCTCCAGGAAGTCCTCCTTGCTCTTCTTGGACAGTGCTCAGAGGCTGGTGCTTGTGGGACAGCCCTCTGGGACCTGTGGCAGAGTATTCCTGGCGGAGAACATTGAGGTGGCCTGACCCTGGGGACTGTGTTTAGTTCTGGGGACTCCTTAGGAGGCTGGGGGCTGATATAGAGAGGGGAGGCTGGGGGATTTAGTGATCTGACCTGTCTGTGCCTGTTTCCTTACCTATAAAATGAGGGTGATCCTTGTTGAGAGGATTGAATGAGCAAATCCATGTGCAACATCTGGCTCTAGTGTCACCTCCTTATACAATAAGGGAATTAATTACACACGATGTCACTTACACCTTAGAGAGCTTTTATTCACATTTTCCTGGGAGAGGAGATGAGACCTCAAGGTCACACAGCCAGGATTAGCACTGGGGAAGGCGGGACCTCTAAGGCCTTCACACCCCCCTCCTTGCCCTTGGCCACAGAATCCAGATGAGAAATGCTGGCCCAGATCCCCCTGCCTGGTAGCTCCTGGCCTGAGCCTTTGGCTGGTACCCCAGCCAGCTCCCTTTCCCACCACACCAGCGGATCTGGGAGCCTGGCCAGGCTGGGGCTGAGGGGCTGGGGCCTTGTGATGGGGCTCCTGGGGCCCCTCCTGGCAGAAGCCTTTTGGGCCAGGAGACATGTGGGCGCCCCCAGCTTGCCCAGCTGCCTCCTTTGGTGAATCCAGAGGGAAAATATGTCGGGAAGGCAGCCGCCCTGCCCTGGGCGGGCCTGGCCACAGGCCCAGGGTCTGGGGAATTCATCAGGGCCAAGAGGGAGGCCACAGTTGAGGAGCCTGACCCAGCCTGCCTCTGATGGCCCCACTGGACCCATCTCTTCCGAAGGACCAAGTGGCAGGGGCCAGGCGGACAGGGGGCTGTGTGGGCAATGGAGCCTAATAGACCCATCCTGACTTGCTCTGTGACCTTCAGCAAGCTCTGCCTTCTCCCACCTCCATTTGCCCCAGCCCTGTCCCCATTCTGTCCCGGGCTTCCTGAAAGATGATGATAAAGGAGAAGATAACAATAAATATAATGCCTACAGTTTTATTTTGTAAGTACCAAACACTCAAAACCTTGCCAACCACTTTTATGGGTTTTCTCTTTCTGTCCTCATCCCACCCTCTGCAGCCCCAGGAGGCAAGGAGCTGGTCATCGGTCATCAGTCCGCGTGGGAGGCAGCAGAGCACAGCGATGAAGGTCTTGGTATTTGGGCCCTGAGTTTCATATTCCAGCTCTGCTGTGTGACCTGAGGCAAGTTGCTTAACTTCTCTGTGTCTCAGTTTCTTCCTTATGTTCTCCTCTCTCCCTCCCCCCGCCCCCTCATAAAGACCACCTTCAAAAGTTTATTATATTGCCCTGACCGGTTTGGCTCAGCGGAGAGAGCGTCGGCCTGTGGACTGAAGGGTCCTGGGTTCGATCCTGGTCAAGGGCATGTACCTTGGTTGCGGGCACATCCCCAGTGGGGGGTGTGCAGGAGGCAGCTGATCGGTGTTTCTCTCTCATCGATGTTTCTAACTCTCTATCCTTTCCCTTCCGCTCTGTAAAAAATTCAATAAAATACATATTTTTAAAAAAGTTTATTATATTGTAATTTTTTTCTTCTCAAGGTTAGCAAGCAAAGTTGCTACAGGAGAGAAAAAACTTTAGAAACAGGAAACCCACTGAAATTTAATCATGCAACATTCAATGGATACTGATTTCTAAGAACAATTTTGCACAGCCATAGCTTCATTGTTTTCCAAGGATAACTGTGGCAGGGCAAGGACCACCCTGCTCTATGTCTGTGCTACCGGGAGAGAGACTGTCTGCAGGGCTAACTGTAGAACTGTTGTTCTCTCCCTTGTTTCCGCTCTCTCTCTGTCTAATGAACTGAAAGATGGAAATGCCTAAAGATTTTTACACAGTAGCAGTTGAAACCAAGGTGAAAATGGAGACCATAAGAGCCCCACCTCTTATGTAAATTAGCCCTTGGAAAGTGATGAGCCCTCAGTTGGTAACATCCCCACTCTCCAGATGAGCAAACTGAGGCTTAGCAGGGCAGGTTTGTCCCATGTCCTCTCAGTTTTGGCCCTGGATGCTCAGAGAGGGAAGTCACACAGCCCCTCCCCTCCTCATGAAGGCACCTAGCCTCGTCACAGGAAGAGAGTCCCCCTCCCCCCAGGTTTCTGGGGCTCTGTCTGGAGATGGTGGGTTTGTGGACAGAGCCTACCTCCTTCAGTCTCTCTCCGGCTTCCATCCCAGCTCATTAACAGGAGTCCCTTGTTCAGCCCAGTGATGGATGAATGGAGCTGAGGGTGGGGTGTGTTTACCCATCAGTTGCCTGGCGGGCAGGGGCCTGGCTGAGGCATGGGCGGGTAGGGGAGGGAGCTACCAGGTAGGGAGGAGCCCCAGCCCCAAAGTGGGAAGACTGGCACACAGTAGGTAACAAATAAGTGATTATCGTTCAGTGGGATGAAATTAAATAACTTCATTTACTGGACAGACGTTGACCCCTGCCCACAGTGAGCAGGGTGGAGGCGGTCTTGGCCTTTCAGTTCCGTGGTGGGTGGCTTCGAAGGCTGACAAGTGCACTCAGGCTTCATGGACACTCACGTGTAACCCAGCAGTGCCACACGGTACGCTGAAGTAGGGCTGCACAGAAGTAGGGCCAGCTGGGTTGGAAGAAGGAGCCCAGGGGTTAGGGAGGCCCCTCTGCAGCGGGGATGTTGGTACCAGGACCTGTACAGGTGAGTGGTTCCAGTTAAC